CCAAATACTCAAATAAGAGGGCTTTAGGTTCCCAAAACCATTCAGAGTATGGATTTTGGGATCTAAAACCCTACGAGTTGCGTACTTCGGTTGATGATAAAAATCCTGTATTACTCATAATAAGGAATGTCCCATAATTCCCATAGATCAGGGTCATTAAGGTAATGCAGGATATATATCATCAACAGTTGGACCCTCTGGGATTACTACACTTCACTTAGATCCCCAATAGATCCCTTGTCAAGGAGCCCTTACAGAACCCCTATAGATCCCTTTGAAGGAACCCTTCTAGCACCTTTAGTTACTAAGTCCCATGACCCTTTAAGTAACCCTTAACCCTGCTTCTAGAACCCTTATAGATCCCTTTAAAGTAACCCTGTTTAGGAACCCCTATGGATCCCTTTTAATGAACCCTTCTAGAACCCTGAGTTACTAAGTCCCATGACCCTTTAAGCCTGGGTTGAGGATTGACCCAGAGAGCCCAATACCCCTTAATTGAGGAATAAAGCTAAAATCATAATATGAAGCCCTATATGTTTTAAGCCATATGCCTTAATTGCCTTATAGACCCCCTTTATAGATACCTTTAAGGAGCCCTTTTAAGGAACCCCCGATATTCCTTAGTTAAGGGGTATTGGGCCCTCGTTTCAGGCTCGAAAGGTTCGAGCTCGAGGCGCTCCGAGGGCTTTTGGCTACTTCAAGGCTCATGGGACTTAGTAACTAAGGGTTCCAAAAGGGTTCCTTTAAAAGGATCTATGGGGGTTCCTAGTAAGGGTTACTTTAAAGGGATCTATAAGGGTTCTAGAAGGGGGGTGTAGGGTTACTTAAAGGGTCATGAGACTTAGTAGCTAGGGTTATAGTCAGGGTAACTATACTAATAATTACTTATGACCCCAATTCTGGCATTCAGAACCTTAGTAACCAAGGTTATAAGTACGTTACTTGGTGTTATCAGTACTTCAAAGTATAGTTACCTTAATTATAATCCTAATTACTAAGTCCCATGACCCTTTCAGTAGCCAAGAGGCCTTGGGTTTTGTGCCCACAAACCCAAGCCCCAGACTATGAAGAACCCTTGAAGCCTTAGGGCTAGCGGACACATGCATGGACCCTGAAGGTGGTGCCTAGAGGTGGATGCCTGAGATGGGCTCCACCTGTGCGGTCTTTGCAAATGTACAGCAGCTGCCCGGAAGATGGAACATCGTTAACGTCTTGCCCTAAGAGTTCGCCTGGCACCCTCACGGAAACGTATGGATATATATATATATATACACACACACATACATATATATATATATATATATATACACATACAAATATAGGAGGACCCGGCGCTGAGCCTTAAGCCCTGAGGCCCTAAACCTGTTCCACTGATCCAACTTCTGAGAGGTTTCTGTAGGTCAAAGCAGCTGGGTGTGTGTCCATTGGGCGCAGGTCCTGAATCATCTGAAAGTATCGTCGGAACAAATATCCCTTTGCGTTTAGAGTCTGGAGTTTAGGCGTTCGAGTCCATATGAAGCCGTTTAGAAGCCCTCACGAAATCCGTTTAAATCTGTGTTCAATCCTTATAAGCCTTAGGCGACACCGTGTTCAAGATATGGTTGCAGTCCTAGGCTTATGGTTTCCTTCGCAGGGATTTGCAAGTCATAGCCTCTGATAACACCGCGCACCCGAAACCGTAACCCCCAAGCCCGAGGCCTTAAACGCTGCATCTGAAACAGAAAGCCGTAACACCTGCACCCAGAGAGTACGCAACCCAGAGGCTTTGGTTGTGGTCTGGCGGATGCACGAACCTTGCATAAAACTCAACTGGTTAGTAATTAACATCGTTCCATCGTACTGATACTACCTAGTACCAACATATCCCGCAGCCCCATTGTGACTGTCAAAGCCCTTATATCATAGAACCTTCAAGGTAACCCTTTATCGCAACGTTTACAGCATCCCGCTTATGGCAACCCTTTATAATCGCCATTTACAGGGACCCCCAAAACAAAACCTAGTCTTAACTGGTTCACGGTGCGTTGTCTTTCTGGCCTGCCAAACCCTAGACCCTCAACCCGAAACAGTCTAGAGACATTTAGTACCTTCTCTTGTCGATGTGGAGAGATCAGCATGTCTTTTGCTATCGTGAGCACGCATCCCCGGAGCAAAAGCCCTTGTAGACTCCCAAAACCAGGCTTTGCCGGTTTGGTTTAGGGTTTTAGGGTTTTAGGGTTTAGGGTTTTAGGGTTTTAGGGTTTTATAGTTTTAGGGTTTTTGGCTAGGCTCTTGTTCTCTTTGTGGCGAAGGCTCTGATGGGCTTTGAGGCGTTGGAGGGATCTGCTCTCTTTTCAATCGGATTCGCAATCCAGGTTGTTCCTTAACTTCTGTCTGTAACGGGTAGAGAAACATGAAACGTGTAGAATCTCACATGTGGGCCCACCCACATAGCATACATGCATGCATCAGCCCTTCAGCGTACAAACATACTTACACATATGCGAGGTGCTAGCGTAAAACCCAGTATGTATTGAAGCCGTTGCAGCATGTTGCGTCTGCTAGCTACCAGTGGAGGAACAGGCTTCCTCTTCCGCAGCCTCGCTCAAGGGCTCGAGGCTGCGCGATCGTTCAGTATAGATTCGGCTAGAGGCCTGCTTCTTTTCCGTGGCTCTTCTGCAGGGATGCTCTCTAGGTGTCCGCAGACGAGTAGGCGGCTTCGGCGACTGCAGACCGTCCAAGCTGAGAGCATTGTGGACAAAAGGGTGCAGGTAGTTGGAATTCTGGGTGTGAAGGGTGACTATGGGCCCGGGCCCTCCAGGCGAACTGAAGGGCTGTTCGGGCGAGAGTTAGGTTGGGGTGTTTCAGATTGCTAGCGGTTGATGATACAAATCCTGCATGACCCATAATAGGGAATATGCCATAATTCTCATAGTTTAGGTTCCTTAAGGTAATGCAGGATATATATCATCAGCCGTAGCCAGGATGGGAATTTAGTACATCGGCTCGAAGGTTTCACGATGTATACTTGGAGGGTCGGGGGACTTAGTAAGAAGTTATTTTAGAGACTTATAGTACCAAAACCCCAATTAGGGTCCCGTTTAAGGCATCATAGCCTACTCACTAAGTCCCCCGACCCTCCAAGACCCCTTAAGAGAACCCGTATAGATCCCTTTAAAGGAACCCTTACAGGAACCCTTAAAGGACCCCCTCATGATTACATACTTACTAAGTCCCCCGACCCTGCAGTACTTGGAGGTTCAATGGGACTTAGTTAGTAAGTACAGTTATAAGTACTTTAATTGGGGTTATAAGTATTTACAAGTATAGTTACCTTGTGTATAACCCTAATTACTAAGTCCTCTGACCCTTTAAGTAGGGGCAGGGTGGTAGCCCAGACCCCTTTTAGAGGATCTAGAAAGTAGATCCCCTAATTGGGGACCTATACTACTAAGGGTACTTGAAAGGAACCCCATTAAGGGATCTACTTTTTGGATCCTTTTGGGGGTCGTTGTCAGATAGACTCGACCGAGATGACTAAGTGGCGGGAAATGATGTCCCCGGGGTCTGGGAGGGGGGTGGTAGTGGCAGGGGTGGCATGGTAGGGGAAGGCTATGTGTTTGTTGTTTTGTCAGGTTTTTGTGTTGTTGTTCAGCTTTCTTTGTTTAGGGCAGGAGTCAGTTTTTTTTGCCAGGTTCATCTCTGAACACAATAAGTGGTTGTTCCTTGTCAAGTCTATTTGATGACTTGTGACGAGGAATTGAGTTGTGTCTTGTGAGGTTTGTTTGTTTTGTGGTCAGTATTTGAGTGTTCGACATTTGTTGAGTCGTTGATCAGACGGTCAGGAGGTTTGTTTTTTGTCATGAATTGGGAGTTTCCGAACATAGGGGACCCTAATATAGTAGCCTAAATAGTAGGATCCTTATAAGAAGGACCCCAAAATAAGGTACCCCTATTTTCGGAAACCCCCAATTCGATTTGTTGTTCATCATGTTTTGGTTTTCTGCTGCACAATTGAGATCTTTTCAGGCGCACGCGCTCTCATCTCAACTTCTTCACAGGTTTATGCACTGTGTCTTCCTGCAGTTTCCGTGTTTTGAGTGTGCAATTTTGTTGGTGCTGCTTTCGATAGATAATCGCAGAGAGGACAAGGGATCCGTACTTCAAGCGCTACTGGGGAATCTTTCAGGATATGTCCTTCAGCACTGTTTTGTCATGTCAGGGCCCTAGTACACCAACACTGCGAGGATCCACCTCAAAAATCATACAGAAGCCGGAGCGACTATTGAGATCTAGACAGAGAATTCTTGAGGGTTCCACAATATATCTAACTACGCTAGAATATGCCCGTGAAGGCCTGTACTTTACAAGCTTGCTTTCTTGCAGATGCAAGGGAAGTACCAGTTGGCAGACTATCGTCTCGGAATCTTCCGTAATGCGATCCCGGAAATGGCTCTCAGTTTCAGCACTCTAGCTGGAGAGAAGGAATGGTGTAAACGTCCAGTACAGCGGCCACGAAACCCCAAACTCCAAACCCCACACACCCCACAACCGACAAACAAATTCTCAATCTCCAAGCAATCGTGCAACAACCTATGCAAATCTGGACAGAGACACTTTAAACCTGAACCCCACAACGAAGCGACAAAACCTAACCGTCATGCACAAACTCTGCAAACATCACCACCACTAAGATATGCCCAAACTCTGCGTGAAATCCTGAAGCTTACAACACCCAACATGCAAGGTCCACATGGTAACCTTAACCTGGAGTCCTCTAGTTGTACCGCTGATTCCTAGTTTCTTTAACAGAATCACCTGAACCCTAGTTTACAAAACCAAACTCCCCTGAAACCTTGGTTTCCAACAAACTCCCCTAAACCGTGGTTTCAACAGCCATAGTCATAGGATTTACTTTATACCGCAATGAGGAAGCCATATTATAGCTACCATAATAAGGACATGTCCCGAATGGAAAAACGGAACCGCCGAGCGTCGTTGCTGCCTGGGATGCTACTGCCATGGAGACCCAGGGTCCGAATGAGGAGGAGGTGGGGCCAGGGAGGGTGCTATAAGGGTTCCTTTAAAGGGTTACTATAGGGGCTCTATACGGATTCCTGTAAAGGGCTCTGTAAGGGATTCGAGTTTAGGATGCCCAGTAGTACCCTCATTCCCGTTTTGTAGTCCTAGGTTCCTTATAAAGTTACCCAATACCATAAAGGGAGCCCTGTTTATTCCTAGGTTACTGGGGCATCTTAGGGGGAAGGCTGGGTTCTTGTTCAGGGATTTAATATTAGGGTTTTGGGGTTTAGGCGTTCAGGGTTTATGGGTTTAGGGCTATGACTTTACTGGGTTCTTGTGAAGGGGTGCAATATAAGTTATCGCATTCTGGAAACCATATTGTTTACTACAGATCCCTATTATCTTGACTTAAGCCAAGTTCCTTAACAAAGAACCAGACAAGGTTTTGGGGTTTAGGGTTTCGGTGTGCCCTTTCTCGCATTTTGTGGGCTTAGGTTCCTTGTTACAAGTATCCATTGGCCCCACGCAGTAACAGTTGAATAGTACTCATAGTAAAGATATATTGGGCCCTCAATTGTAATTGTAGCCATATTATAGACTGTTACTGTACGGGGCCCTAAACCCTAAACCCTAAACCCGGGGGGGTGCGGTACCCAAACGATGGGTTGATGATGTAAGTCTAGGATGCCCAGTAGTACCCTTATTCCCTTTTTGTAGTCCTAGGTTCCTTATAAAGTTACCCAATACCAAAAAGAGAGGCCTCTTTATTCTTAGGTTACTGGGTATCCTAGTCAATGACCCTGGACATGGGAATTGTGGTATATTCCCTATCATGGGAAATGCAGGATTTGTATCATCAACCTGGACCCTAAACCCTAAACACCTATAGCTCCCTTAAAGGAACCCTGTAAAGGTACCTTCATAGATCCCTGTAAAGGAACCCCAGGATTTGTATGATGAACCCTATCCGGTCCAGTAACAAAACGGGAGCCCTTTCCATTCCGAGGTTCCTGGGAATCCGAGATAAGCTTCCTTTCAGGGTTCTAGGGTCCTTCCTTAACCCTGAAGAACCTACCTTTTTAAGGACTCTTTAAGGAAATCATAATAGGGAACCCTAAAAAGGTAGGTTCTTCAGGGTTAAGGTTAAGATAATGCAGAGTTTATATCATCAACCGTAGTTAAGTACGGGGAGCTTTGGAGTCTATTCCATAAAGGAAGCCTTTAGCAGTAATGTAGGAACTTGATGAAGAAACCTTGGGCCTTTATTAGGGCTCCTCATGTAAATCCTACTATTTTGGGGGATATAGGCCCGGGGTTTCTTAATCAGGTTCCTACATTATTAACTATTAGGGTTCTGCAAGGGTGCTTCAGGATTCTATAAGGGTTTGTTACAGGGTTCTATACAAGATCCAACGGGGTCTGTGAGTCGAAATCTCGGCAACATATTCATCTGATTAAGGCCCCTTCATGGACGAGTGTTCCTGTAAGTCTTCTTGAAATGCTTCCCTAAGCGGTTTCTGAAGAATCCAAGAGTTTCTGGAAACACTTCTTTCTGGGCTTCTTTTGAGGACTTCCTTAATCAGGGCCGTATTAGAGGTTTCGGCGCAGGGTCTAAAGCAGGAGCTTGGAGAGGTTAGTACTGCAGTTCCTGACGGCTCCGTGTTGCGTCTTTCGGATAGAAATTCCCAGAGACATGTTGAAATTATTCAGACACGTATATGAGGCAGAGAATCGGCAACCATAGCCATAAGTGGGGTTATAGCTATCCTTTTTGTACTAAACCACAAACCTAACTCCTGAACCCCTATATACCCTAAACAATATGCTGGACTTTCCATGCTTTTCTTGCCTTTAGGCGAGGCAGTCTGTAAACGGGGTTCCGGAGTACCTGCTAGAGATTTCCTTTTCGGGGTTGATACCGCCAAACCCTACCTTAACCCTGAAAGACCTACCTTTTTAGGATTCCTTTCTATGATTTCTTTATATAAGCCTTTAAAGCTCGCTGAAAGGATCCCTTACCCCTTAACTTTGAGCCGCAACCGTAAAGCTCGAAACCTTTAGCCAGAACTATAAGAAGGAGCCTGAGAAGCCGTTGTCAGGTAGACTCGACCGAGATGACTAAGTGGCGGGAAATGATGTCCCAGGGTATCGCGAAGTGAGCCGCCCAGGTCCTCACTTCGAGGGTCGGGGAACTTAGTAAGTAGGTTATAAGTAGACTTATAAGTGCCTTAAACGGGACCCTATTTAGGGTTATGGTACTTATAAGTCTCTAAAATAACTACTTACTAAGTCCCCCGACCCTCCAAGCAGAGTTTGGTTTGGTGTTCTTGAAAGCTGCTCTGGAGGGCTGTGGGTCTAGGGTTTAGGATTTAGGGTTTAGGGTAAGGTAGAAGCCAGAAAGTTGGAATATGATTATCCTAACCCTTCTATGGTCAATTATAGGGTATCCTACCATGAAACCATATTCCAACTTTCTGGAGTTTCCTGTATGGGGTTCAGGATTTAAACTAGGGTTTGGGGTTTCGGAGTTCTGTCTCGGCTTTTCGGGTCTTCAGAGCCTTTGGGGCTCGAGGGGTACGATTCAGGGATATTGTTGCGGTCTGTGCGGTTCCTCCCCACCCACCCCAATGAAGGTTGCATGCAATACTATAGGGGCTTTAGCAACAATCAGAATACGGTTCCTTATTATAGTATAATGGACCCCCAAGCCCTATTCTAGTTAAAAAGGCCCCGATATGGGAGTTTCACACGAAGGTAGGGGACCCTATTATAGTGCCCTAAATTGTTGGATCCTTATTATAAGGACCCCAAGATAAGCTACTATTTGCTTAAGAACCCCCAAAAAATAAAAAAAACATATTCCTTATGGGTGTAATATAGGGATTATTATGTTTTTATTTTTTGGTGGTTTCTTAAGCAAATAGTAGTAAGGTACCCCTAACTTACAGAAACTCCCATATTTGTCGCTTCATACCGAAAGGCTGACCTTTGTCGTTTTGTTGTCTGAGCTCGTTTCTTGAGTCTGGGTGAAGAGGCCTTCCCCAGAGAGCCGAATACTCCTTAATTGAGGAGTATGGCTTAAATTATAGAGGGCTTCATATTATGATTTAAGCTATATTCCTCAAGTAAGGGGTATTGGGCTCGCTGGGTCTCAAACCTCGACCCCAAGCCGACCCTGAGCCCCTCCACCCCTCAACCGAAACCCAAAGTCCCTAAGCCCAACTAGTAGATTCTAAAGCGCCTACTGGGTCTGTTATAGGAGCCATGGTAGGACGCTTTTGGGACCTTGATATAACAATTAGAAACCCCTTTATAGAACTCCTACAGTAGAACCCAAAGCAGCCTGGCAGGTACATGAAGCCTGTAGAGCCCCACAGCCCCTAACCCCTCAACCCCGAAGAGAAGCCCCAAAACCACAAAAGCCCTAGACCGGTTCCCTAAAACGCTAAACTTGTTTAATAAACACAAAGTCCCCTAGAACCGTTTAAGGAGCCCGAATTCTGACAAGGTACATGGAGCAGCACCCTGATCGCTTCAAACGCCGTGTGCGCCGGGGGATTCCCCCGGAGTTTAGGCGCAGCGGATCTGGGGTCTCGGGTGAACTAAAGGGGCCCAGAGAATTACAAATAATGTTTTGGGGGTTCCTTATTATAAGTGCAGTAGAATGGGCCCCAAAATACAAAGCATGTCTAATGTAGGAACCTGGTTAAGACAGCCGGTGCCTATAACCCCAAAATAGTAGGATTCATAGAAAGAGCCCTACTAAAGGCCGAAGGTTTCTTAGCCAGGTTCCTACACTATCCATTAAAAACAACAAGCGGAAATGTTGTCTCAAGGGGTCCTCCCCCAGTTTCCCAGGCCAGTCCTGGCAGACTCTTTACAAAGAATGATCGCTTTAGGGGTTTGGGGTTTAGGGCTTAGGGGTTTAGGGTTTAGGGGTTTAGGGTTTAGGGTCCGCTTACAAAAAATTACCCAGACCCGTGAGAGAATCTAGACAGTAGAGCCCGCTTTGGCACCTCTTACGACTATATAAGGGATACTTTAAGGAAAACCTCAAGGGATCTACTTTTCGGAATCCTCCCGGCGGCCTGGGTGAACGATCTAGCAAACGTAATATCCAAGAAGGCATCCTGCGGCGAAATACCTCTCGAATATCTGGGTACAGGCATAGCCTACGGATCCCAGCTGGACCCAGTTGGACGATCGTGGGCCTGAGTAAGTAAGGTCATGAGTAGCTTAGTTGGGCTTGAAAGTAGTCATAAGCTGTTATAAGTATGGGTGGTTGTCAAAGTTAGGGTCCCTTTTTGGGTCCTTAATATAGTACGGCACCTATTATTTAGGGTACCCCAAAAAGGGACACTAATGTTGACAGCCACCCGTATGGCTTCCGTATGTGCGTCCCTAGTTTAGAAGTTTCAGAGTCATCTTCGAAGTTGCACAGTACAAGTCAGCCTTGTCCTTTTTCATGGTTCCCCCAAAAGAATAAACAGACCGGCTAGTAGACCTTCTGAAATAATTCCTATTAAGGGATATAGGTATAATTAGGGCTCTGTCCATTTTCTAAAAGGACACGGCGTACAAGTTCCATGCCGGCCTACGGACCTTGCTCAGCACTGCATCCGGCAGCAATACAAAGAGGCGCTGTACGCACCGAAACACCCCAAAACCGAAATCAACAAACCCACGGTTTAGAGTTCAGGATTTGGGAATTCAGGGTTCTTCAGTTTCCTGAAGTACGAAAGTTCCGATTTCAACGACCTACCGTGCACGGGTCTTCAGAAGCGCTCTGAATAGCAAACAAACTCTTAGACACAACAATTCCGCACACCCTAAAGCCCTAAATTACACCACAGCCCTGAACCGCAAAACCCTAGAAAGCCTACAGCCCTAAACCCTAAAGCCTTGAAACCCCTAACTATAGTCCTAAGCCCTAAAATCTTAAAAACCCTTCAGCCCTAAACCCCTAAACCCCAGAACCCTATACCATAAAGCCCCAAAGCCCTACACTTACCTTTGGTTAGTAGGGAACGGAAGAATGGTAGTAATAGTAGTTATAGTTCTACCCCATTCCTCCATTCCCCACTAACCAAAGGGAAGGAATAGGATTATTAAGGCCCCTATATTTTACTACCCTTATAGATCCCTTATACTAACCGTTATAGACCCCTTTATAAGGCCCCTTCCATTCCCTACTAACCAAAGGCAAGTAGGGCCAGGTGGCGCGTCAAAGGGGAAATGGGCTATATAATGGGTATATAATAGCTATACTAAGGGTATATACCTAGGGGTCCTTGTTAAGGGTCCCCCCTTTGACCTGTAGCGCCAGGTGGCGCGTCTGGAAGGCGGCGGCCCAGCTTGACGAGGAGCCTTTGGCAGAGCCGGGAGCTCCAGGAGAGGGGGGGCTTTTCGAAAATTAGGGGTACCTTTAAGGTTCCTTTTAAAGGGTTACTATAAGGGTACTATAAGGGTTCCTTAAAAGGCTCTATAAGGTTTAGTTTAGGGTTTCCGAAAGTTAGGGTTTAGGGGTACCTTGTCCTAGGAGTCCTCTTCAAAGGGCTTTAGGGTTTAGGGTCTAGGCTTGCTTAAGGGTTTAAAACTTAGGGTGTAGGGTCTAGGCTTGTTTAAGGGTTTAATTAAAACTTAGGGTTCAGGGTTTAGGGTTTAGGGCTCCTCTTCAAGGGACTTCTTTTTGTGTAAGGGTTTAGGATTTGGGGTTTCGGCCTGGAAAGATCCTTTGGAGGCATCCGCGGGATTCTGTCTTGCTTTCAGGGTTGGGAGGGTGGCGGGGTGTGGTGTGTGGGCGGGGGGGGGGGGGGCTAGTGACGGGCATGTGTCGAGAACTGTCATCAAACATGGGATCTTGTTTAAGATTGTTTCCCTCAGTCCTTAAACCCGCAAACCCTAAACCCGCAAACCCTGAACCACAACCCCTTAAAGCCCATCACAGGACGCTGGCATCATGTCGGAATCTTCCGAGGCGCGTGATGCTGGGACTATGGCTATTGCTGATGGTGGGCCACCCCCCAGCCTGATGATGGTAATGCGTGTGTGGCATGAGGAACTCGTTCCCATCGACGATGCCGTGCAAAACGGCAAACAATGGAAGTGTCGACGATGTTATGACACAGAACGGCACCTGCAAAGCAATTACAAGAAGGATGCCAGGACTCACAGCTGACAACTTGCCCAACCTGCTCCAGAGGCCACGTTGGGAGCCGGGACCCGGAGTCGCTTGGATGCAGACTCACATGCAGCAGCTATCGGCAGTTGTCATTTTCGCGACCGGACATCAAAATCAGGGTCTCTTTTGGGGTCCTTATTATAATACGGCACCTATTTATTATTTAGGGTACCAAAAAGGGACCATAATTTTGACAAACCACACCCACATCTGGACATCGATGGACACCAGAAGGAGCCGAACACGTGAAGCATAGCAGCAGGCCCTTCCCCAGACCCTCTTTGGAGGATCTGGAAAGTAGATCCCTTAATTTGGGGCCCTATACTACTATAGGGCTGCTTTATAGGAACCCCCATTAAGGGCTCTACTTTTGGATCCTCCCGCGGGTCTGGGTAAATCCCAAGTTTCAGAGGCTTCGATCGGCCACCCTTGTTAAACCCGAGCCCTTAAACCCTATAAGACCGTGAAGCCTTGTTAGAAACCTCTTGGAGCCCTTGGTGGGGCACCCTGATCTTAGGGGTAACCTATTCCGGGGTCCTTTTTGTCGGAACCTACTGTTTAGATTATTGGGTCCCCTATTGTCAGAAACCTCCCATATAGTTAGTAGAATGTAGGGTGTCTATAATTGGAATTAATATCGTCACGATTTGGCGAAGTATCCTCCGTAACACCACTTACTTGGAGGGTCAGGGGGACTTAGTAAGTAGTTATGCTAGAGACTTATTTATAAGCATCATAAACCCAGTTAAGGTCCCTATTAGGGTACTTGTAAGTCTACTTATTGCCGCAGAACCTACTTACTAAGTCCTACGACCCTCCAGGACCCCTTATAGCACCTTCGTAGATCCTATTAAAGGGACCTTTATAGAACCCTCTTATAGATCCCTTTCAAGGGACCCTTATAGAACCCATCCATTGGGGATGGAAGCCTCAACCCTGAACACGCTCAGTTACGGCAGCCTCTGCGATCAAGAGAACAAGTGGACTGCGTCGATCGAAATCGTGCGGACCCCAGCTAGTATGGGTGCCTTAATAATTAGAATAGGGTTTTGGGGCCCATTATATTAATACTACAATAAGGAAACCGCGAAATAGTGTAGGCCCCTATACTACGCACCTCTTTGTGGTGTTGAACATGTAAATCTGAGGGCCTGTTGGGATTTTCGGGGGACTTCAAGCCGTCCTTGCTATGATCGGAATCAACAGCTCGGCCGCCAAAACCCAACCCCAAACTTTGGGGTATAAATAACGTACCTATACTCTTAAATACTTAGAGCCCCAATTTTACTTCTAACCGCACTTACGAAGTCCCATGAAGCCCCAACCCTAAGCCCCAAACCCTTAACTTTAAGCCCTTAAGACCGTCTCCACGTAACAGCAGACACAGGGACTTTTTTCGGTTGAAGTCGGGCATTGAAGCCCCAAGGGCCGTGAAGAAAATCTGAACCTTAGCCCAGTAGTAGACTAGGTAGGTTTAGGGATTAGGGTTTGTGGTTTAGGGATTAGGGTCTGGAGTTCAGTGTTCACGGATCAGGATTGGTTTAAGGTTTAGGGATTTGGGTTCAGGGTTTAGGGTTTAGGATTTAGGGGGTACGGTTAACCTTTAGCCTTTTTGGGTACTATAGTCACTATAAAATCCCAGTACAGTCCCAAAGGTTTACCTTTAGTTCCCCAGGATATTTGACCGCTCCGAGAGCAGGAGTCTCAAAAAGCGCTGGATTTGCGCAGTTTGCCTGTGCTTATCGTCACCTCGGATGCCGGCCCTGACACGCAAGCGGCAATGCAACTCCTGCAATGGAAACTCTCCTTAAGGATGGTCCATTTCTGGGAGCCGCGCCATCGCATCGCGCGAGAGCTGGAGAACAGTGCCAACCGAATCCTGGGTTGAGGCCTGCACTTGTTCTGGCAGAGCAGATCTTGAACTTCACCCGCGGTCCATGGGTTCAGGTCGCTGAGATGCAGGATTTGCAGTGCATTATTTACTTATTTTTTTTGGACAAGTTGAGAAGACCAGTAATAATTATGGCTTCATGCGAAGTAAGATCCTGTTTCTTGAAGGTACTTCTTTTGAGAATCCCATGCCTATGCAATAGCACTGAGATCTTTCAAGTCCAAGCAGTTTAACTGGACTTCATGTGAGGTGTCTTCAAGAAGAGTGCCAATAGGTAAGCTTTCAAACCTAAAGTATGACCTGTGCTTATTCCCAGAACAGAAAACCTGAAGGGCTAGGTCCTACATGTTCGTGTTTTTGACATGTTGGCTTTTGAAGCACGGAAACCGAACGCCTGAACACACGGCGCGGCATAACTAGCAATGGCCCCTACACATACATACATACATACATGCATGCATGCATGCATACATACATACATACATACCACACATATATATATATATATATGTATATATACATATATATATATATACACACACACCTACAAAAATGAGAATATGCACAGATAGATGGATGGATGGATAGGTAGATAGGTAGATAGAGAGAGGTAGATAGATACGTAGATAGAAACACTCATGCTATATCCAGAATTCAGGGAGGATCTAAAAGGTTGATCCTTTGGTTTGGGAAGCTTTTCTACTAAACAGTACTATATGAACCCCTTAACGGTGCCTAAACCCTAGACTCATGAACCCTCGCTGACGCTCGACCCCTGAACCCTAACCCCCCCCTAAATCCTTGGCTTCGGAGATTGAGTTGCCTATAGTCTCCTTAGGAAGTACTTTCTTATTTTTGTTCATATAAAAACCCAAGAGAATATTAAAACATATTAGATCCCTACCCTAAACCCTACCAATGGTGTCCCTTGTACTCCCCGTTTTTGCTAAGCCAATATTCTTTTTGGCTATGATTCCAAGGAGGGGTTAGTTTCGGGCTTCGAGTTTAGAGTGCCTTCGTCTCCTCGCACTGAGGATCGGCGGTACCCAGACCCCCCCCCCCGGGAGGATAGGTCTCGAAAAGACAGAGCCGTTTAGTCGAGGGGTCTAGACAATTACTTATACTAGTTATTTTTTGAGGGGGTTCCTTGTTATAAGTATAGTGTAATGGGCCACAAAGCCCTGATCGAATTATTAGAGCCCCTACATTCGGTCTAGAAATCAAAGAAAGAGCCGCTTGCAAAAAGGCAAGATAATGATGCAATGGGATGCCTGCTTTGGGGATCCGGGGACCCATGTCCCAGATTGTTTAGGGGGTCAACCTTACAGGAACCCCTATAGGTCCCGTACAGGAACCCCTATGGATCCCTTATAAGAACCCCCGAAAAGAGCCTTTCAAGGGACCTTGAGGGAACTGCACTTGAGCTCTGTAAGGGTTCATCTAAGGGTTCTTTAAAGGGGTTCCTTTAAACGGAACCGCTTCCCCCTATGGATCCCTTAAAGGAACCCTACTTAAAGGGTCATGGGACTTAGTAATTAGGCTTATAGTCTGGGCAGCTATACTTATAATTACTTCTAACCCCATTTACGGTACTTATAACCCCACTTACTAAGTCCCATGATCCTCCAAGTAAGAAGAGCCCTTAAAGAAAGCCCGACGCTTCGGCCTGTGCCAGGATGTGCCTCGCACCTTCCCGGAGCTCAAAGCTTTTGATGAGGAGCAGCAGCAGCCTCCGGCCTAGAATGCCACAGATATGCTACTGCTAGCATTTTCATCAGGGGTTCAGGGTTTGGGGTTTAGGGTTTTGGGGTTTGGGGTTTTGGGGTTTAGGGTTTAGGGTTGGGGTTTAGGGTTGGGGTCTAGGGTTTAGGGTTTTGGGTTTGGGGGTTTAGGGTTTAGGGTTCTCTGTGGGGCGTTTGACTGTTTGGTTTGCAGGGTGTTGGGTTGGTTTCAAAACACTGGCTTCGTCCTGCGTTTTCCAGGGCTCTACATGGATGTGAGCGGGCGGTAGGTTCAATCGCGCTTCATTGTGTTCAATAAAGTATAAGGCCTTTTTCATGGTAAGAGTTGTATGGGGTTCTGGAGTGCTATACATCTTTACATATGCTTTTTGGATATGGCTTCCTTGTAGGAGCACTGTTTGTAGAACGGATGTTGGGACGAGAACCACAGTTTAAGGTGTGTATGTATTCTGGGCTGTACCAACATTCCTCGTGTACCCTCACCCTAAGCCCCAACCCCCTTACACAACCCTGAACCATAAGCCCGAACCCTAACCATAAAGCCCAAGTAGAGACGCATTACCCAGACTCCCCGGGAGGATCTAGAAAGTAGATCCCCTAATTTGGGGCCCTACACTAGTAAGTATAGGAGCCCCCATTAAGGGATCTACTTGTTGGATCCTCCCGGGGGTCTGGGTAAGGACCTGGGCCTTTAGGGTAAGCCCGAAGCTGAAGTTGCTCAAGCTCGAGGCCTTAAATACAAATTCGACACCCTAGACCCCTTGGGTTTGGAGTATCATACTTGAATACTTTTTTGAGGGTACCTGTTCCTCAAAGGAACCGTTATGACAAAAGTCTATACTTTTTTCCCCCTGGTTACTTCAAAGTCTAGACCCTAAACCACTAAACGCCTAAGCCCTAAACGTAGATCTGTGTGCTCCAGTCATTCGATGCCGCCTTGGACGAACACCGAACATGGAGACCCTTCCCTGTGCTGCCTTTCGCCAGTGGGGATCTGGAATGATTCAGCATGGATTATGCTTAAAGGGTCATTGGGACTTAGTAACTAGGGTTATAAATCAGGTAACTATACTTATAATTGATAATTACCCCAATTAGGGTACCTATAACTCTACTTCCTGAGTCCCATGATCCTCCAAGTGGTCTTCCTTGCTGGTGTCCTGAAGCCTTGTGTTGTGGTTTGTGCAATGTGGCAGCAAGCAAGTGCCGCGGTGCAGCCTGATCCCCGCATCGCCCCATGAGACGGGTGCCACATACTGTGTAGGAGAACTCTTTGCCGGTCGCCGTTTTCCGTTTCATCCACACGAACAACCTTGGTATCGACCGGCGAATCTGTGGCAGTGTCTAGCTGTTGTTTTCTCCATGGTTCGAAGATAGACAACCTGTTTGTTGTGCGATACCTATGAATCCTTGAAGGGGTCTGTGTTTGCTAACCATGTTATCTCGACTTTTATTGCGATGAGTGCAATGTTCCGAAAACAGCAGATCTTGCGCCCAAAACCCTATAGGCCCTAAAGTATCTTATGCGCTGAAACCCCAGATCCTTCGAAGTAGACGCTGAACCCGTAGATTGACTCTTTCGAACCATATTAAAGTCTGGTACTTCGTGGTCAGAGCCTTATAAATCCAGATAAGGGCCGAAAAGGCACTTTTTAATCCCACGGCGCCCTGTAGAATCACGCGTGTAAACCACAGTAATTAAACCTTATAAACTCCCTTGTGCAGCACAGAGATCCTGCCATTGTACACCTTGGTAACCGGGCAAACTCCGCATGAACCCTTTCTCAGACATGTGGGAGGATCCCAGAACTAGACCCTTCATTGTCAAGCAGTGGTCGTGGTTCTCACATTATGGGCTCTACTTTTTTAGATACTCCTAGAGTTCTGGCTAAGGGTTCCTTCTCGGATTCCTTCAAGGTTTCGTTTAAGGGCTTCACAGGGGTCCCTAAGCAGCGAACCGCAAGAGACCCATCAAACCCTTCACAAACCCTGACCCGAACCCAAGCCTCTGTAACCTGGAACCTGATTTTATTCCTCAGGTCCATGGACAGCATAGCCAGCAGGATTCTGCTTGAAATTTTCTGTCTCGACACGAGCGCGCTTTTCTGGTGTGTCTGTGCACCACGAGGCAGTCAGACAACACTTCCAACTCGGGGAAAGGAACTAGGATGCCCAGTAGTACCCTTATTACGTATTCCCTTTTTGCAGTCCTAGGTTCCTTATAAAGTTACCCAATACCAAACAGGGAGCCCTTTTTATTCCTAGGTTACTGGGCATCCCAGGAAACGAAAACCAAACGTTCGAGAAAACCGGCGATCCGGCGCCCAAATGGGAGTTTCCGATAATTGGGGGTACCGTATTGTGGGGTCCTTAAAATGAGGATTCTACCATTTGGGGTACTATATTAGCGTCCCCTGTTTTCGGAAACTCCCAAATCAGAAAACGACGACGAGAGGAAAAATAGTTGCGGTCAAAGCGCGGAATGAAGCGTACTTAAAGGGTCATGGGACTTAGTAACTAGGGTTACCATTAGGACTACTACACTTATACTTACTTATATCCCCAATTAAGGTACCTATAACCCTACCTACTAGGTCTCATGATCCTCCAAGTACAAAAGACGGAAGCTGTTGAAGTGGCAAGATCCAGTCGTTCGAGTGATGCAGGGAGCGAGAAATCCGTGTGCGATTTTTTTGCTGCGTTGCCACAATACCCCTTTGACCTCTACCCTTCTTGGGCTACACCTCAAACCCTGCCAGGACCCGGACCCCCAAGTGCCTGCTAACAGAGTCTGATGGTCCTGAATTGTTGGAATTTAGGGTAGACTAGGTGGTAGTTTGGGGGTTTCGGTAGCTCCTGGCCCTAAGCACCAAACCTTCAACCCGAACGCACTCTCTTCGGAAGCCGCTGAGGCGACTCCGACGAGTCCTCAACGCCTATGCCAGCGAAGAGCTCAGATCAGGAGTTCCCTTGAACTAGGACCCAAAATGGGCCCTTATTCCTTTTTTAAGGTTCAGGTTCCCTTATAACTCCCTTTAAACCAAAAAGGGCACCCATTTTGTTCCTAGGCTACTTGTCGGTCTAGTGAATATTACTCTAGGATGCCCAGTACTACCCTTATTCCCGATTTGTAGTCCTTGGTTTCTTATAAAGTTACCCAATAGCAAACAGGGAGCCGTTTTTGTTCCTAGGCTATTGGGCATCTTAGTATTCAAAGAAGTGCCTTTTTGGGTGGTTTCTATAGGGCTCCTATACGGGGACTATCACCCTAAGTCCCCTTAGTAGCTGAGTAGGTAACCTTTAACCTTTTGGGGGTTTATGTAATCCTCCCATAATGGAAAAGGGTAACTTTTTTTTGTCAGCCACTAAGACTTGGTTCTGGAGTATCATAAGCCCACTTAGGGATTAGGGTCTAGGGTTTCCCTCGCAAGTCTGCATACCCCTGACAGGATCAAGAAAGCAGAAACCTCAATTCGGGGACTCTATACTCCTACCCAGACGCCCCTAAGGATCTAGAAAGTAGATCCCCTAATTTTGGGCCCTATACTAGTAAGGGTACTTTATAGGAACCCCCATTAAGGGATCTACTTTTTGGATCCTCCCGGGGCTCTGGGTAAAGGATGCCTTGCAGGAACCCTCATTAAGGGAACTACTTTCTAGATCCTAAACCATACTCCTAAACCCTAAACCCTAAACCCTAAAACCCTAAACCCTAAACCCCTAAAACCCTAAACCCTAAACCCTAAACCCTAAAACCCTAAACCCTAAACCCTAAACCCTAAACCCTAAAACCCTAAACCCTAAACCCTATAAACCCTAAACCCTAAACCCTAAACCCTCATTAAGGGAACTACTTTCTAGATCCTTTCGGGGGGGCCCGAAGTTCCAGCTTGAAAGGTTTAGGGTCCCTTTTTACAGGTTGCCCTTTGAAGGGCTCCTCTTAAAGGGTTCCTTCATTTTTTAACAAGTGTTTCAGGCTCCTCTTAAAGGGTTCCTTCATTTTTTAACAAGTGTTTCAGGCTCCTCTTAAAGGGTTCCTTCATTTTTTAACAAGTGTTTCAGGCTCCTCTTAAAGGGTTCCTTCATTTTTTAACAAGTGTTTCAGGCTCCTCTTAAAGGGTTCCTTCATTTTTTAACAAGTGTTTCAGGCTCCTCTTAAAGGGTTCCTTCATTTTTTAACAAGTGTTTCAGGCTCCTCTTAAAGGGTTCCTTCATTTTTTAACAAGTGTTTCAGGCTCCTCTTAAAGGGTTCCTTCATTTTTTAACAAGTGTTTCAGGCTCCTCTTAAAGGGTTCCTTCATTTTTTAACAAGTGTTTCAGGCTCCTCTTAAAGGGTTCCTTCATTTTTGAACAAGTGTTTCAGGCTCCTCTTAAAGGGTTCCTTCATTTTTTAACAAGTGTTTCAGGCTCCTCTTAAAGGGTTCCTTCATTTTTTAACAAGTGTTTCAGGCTCCTCTTAAAGGGTTCCTTCATTTTTTAACAAGTGTTTCAGGCTCCTCTTAAAGGGTTTAACCTCCTCTTAAAGGGTTCCTTTTGTTTAACAAGTGTTTCAGGCTCCTCTTAAAGGGTTCCTTCATTTTTTAACAAGTGTTTCAGGCTCCTCTTAAAGGGTTCCTTCATTTTTTTAACAAGTGTTTCAGGCTCCTCTTAAAGGGTTCCTTCATTTTTAACAAGCGTTTCAGGCTCCTCTTAAAGGGTTCCTTCATTTTTTAACAAGTGTTTCAGGCTCCTCTTAAAGGGTTCCTTCATTTTTTAACAAATGTTTCAGGCTCCTCTTAAAGGGTTCCTTCATTTTTTAACAAGTGTTTCAGGCTCCTCTTAAAGGGTTCCTTCATTTTTTAACAAGTGTTTCAGGCTCCTCTTAAAGGGTTCCTTCGTTTTTGAACAAGTGTTTCAGGCTCCTCTTAAAGGGTTCCTTCATTTTTTAACAAGTGTTTCAGGCTCCTCTTAAAGGGTTCCTTCATTTTTTAACAAGTGTTTCAGGCTCCTCTTAAAGGGTTCCTTCATTTTTTAACAAGTGTTTCAGGCTCCTCATAAAGGGTTCCTTCATTTTTTAACAAGTGTTTCAGGCTCCTCTTAAAGGGTTCCTTCATTTTTTAACAAGTGTTTCAGGCTCCTCTTAAAGGGTTCCTTCATTTTTTAACAAGTGTTTCAGGCTCCTCTCAAAGGGTTCCTTCATTTTTTAACAAGTGTTTCAGGCTCCTCTTAAAGGGTTCCTTCATTTTTAACAAGTGTTTCAGGCTCCTCTTAAAGGGTTCCTTCATTTTTTAACAAGTGTTTCAGGCTCCTCTTAAAGGGTTCCTTCATTTTTTAACAAGTGTTTCAGGCTCCTCTTAAAGGGTTCCTTCATTTTTTAACAAGTGTTTCAGGCTCCTCTTAAAGGGTTCCTTCATTTTTTAACAAGTGTTTCAGGCTCCTCTTAAAGGGTTCCTTCATTTTTTAACAAGTGTTTCAGGCTCCTCTTAAAGGGTTCCTTCATTTTTTAACAAGTGTTTCAGGCTCCTCTTAAAGGGTTCCTTCATTTTTTAACAAGTGTTTCAGGCTCCTCTTAAAGGGTTCCTTCATTTTTTAACAAGTGTTTCAGGGTCTATAGGGTCTAGAGTTAGTTTGGAGGGTCTTGGGACTTCGTACATGGGTAACAAGTAGACTCATAGGCACCCGAAAAGGGATCCTCATTGGGGTTATGAGTCATGAGTCTATAGCATCCCTTTATGGGAGCCCTTACAGAACCCTGTAGGTTCCATATTTCCAAGGGTAAAGGGAGGGACCTTTAATAAGGACTCCTAGGTATACACCCTTAATACAGCCATTTTAGACCCATTCTATAGCCCATTATAGGGTAGGGGTCCCCATTAAGGGTCCCTCCTTTTCCCCTGTGATTATTGAAGGATGCTTTGAAGGAATCCCTGCAAGGATAGTGCCGGGTCTGAGCACATCATAAGATCTTTGGCTTTGTTTAGGGTTTAGGGTTCAGGTTTCTTGAGGGTGTTTCGGTCACAGGGATCAGGGGTTGAGGCTTTAGGGTTTAGGGTTTAGGTTTCTTGAGGGTGTTTAGGTCTTAGGGTTCAGGGGTTGAGGCTTTAGGGTTTAAGGGTGAAGTCTTCCTGAGAGGCAGAGAGGGAGTTAGCCCAGTCCGAGCTAATCGCCCCACCGAGCTCCTACCTGGACCCCAGAACATATGTGATTTTGGTGGGCGGTTTATGTAGGCCCTCGCTGGACCTTAGAAAACCCTTCATGTTTACGGCTCCGTAAATAATACTGTACTTAAAGGGTCATGGGATTTAGTAACTAGGGTTATATAACCCCAATTAAGGTACCTATAACCCTACGTACTAAGTCCCATGATCCTCCAAGTAGGCCCTCACTGGACCTTAGAAAACCCTACATGTTCAGGGTTAACAAATAATGCTGTAAGGATCCCTCCTCTATACCTCGCGGTATAACTACTCCAGAACCATGTGGAATTCATAGACCTCCTGTAAACCACGATAAACGCCTCTCGAAGAATCCCTTTCCAGTGGAAGACGCATTGCTCAGTTGATGTTGGGCTCGAAATAATTGAGATACTATATATTTCTTAAAACCCTAGCAGAAGCGTTTGTAAAGCCCTTATCCTTGAACCATGCCTAAACCTTCAACCCTCTAACCCAGACCACCGGGAGAATCCCAAAAGTAGATCCCTTAATGAGGGTTCCTGTTAAGTACCCTTAGTCGTATAGGGCCCAAAGCAACGGGATCTGCTTTCCAGATCCTCCCGGGGGTCTGGGAAACGCTCGAAAAGTAAGGAATCCTTTAAGACAGAGTCGCTCCAGAGGCTACAATCCTGATTGCGGCTACTGTCAGGCTGGGACGTCAGCGCGGCAACATCCCTGAACCCCGACCCAAATGATTGCCTCAGGGTTCCTTTAAATAAGTTTATAAGGGCTATTGAAAGGATTTAATATGAGGGCTTAAATAATGACCTATACTATGTTGGGGGTTCCTTATCATATTTGTAGTATGGTGGGCCTCAAAACCCTATTCTAGTTATCTTGCCTGGGGAACAGTCTAAGGGGTATGATTAAAGAGGGTCATAACCTACTCTTTGCAGGGTCTGGGGTTCCAGGGTGAACTCTAACACCGTACACCCTTGACCCCAAGTGGAGAGACCACATGCGTACTTGGACGGTCGGGGGACTTAGTAAGTAGTTATCTTGTGGACTTACAAGTATCATAACCCCAAGTAGGGACCCTTTCAAGGTACTTATGAGTCTACTTATTGCCTAACCTACTAAGTCCCCGGACCCTCCACGACCCCTTATAGACCCTTTGTAGATCCTTATAAAGAGAACCGAAGTGGCAGGTCAGTTTGTGACGAAATGGACCTGCTCACCCTCGATGCCATTGAACATATTTTTCACTTGCAGGAAATGCCAGGAGGCCTCTTACCCAAGCGAGTTAACCTATAAGGTGGGCGTTCTCGATGCTGAAGCACCTGCGGAGCTTGGCTTTGGTGAACCGGTAACTTTCTTTTCTGGTTTGTCATTGTCCTCGTCGCTTGGACACGCATTGCGAGAGCCCTATATTACAGCCCCATACTACCCCTTATAGTAACCCTAACAGGACCCCTTTTGAGAGCCCTTTTTAAAGGACTCATTGCCCAAAAGAGCCGCATCCGCAGCCTCGATGCACGCAGATGCGACTTGCTCCGAGGGGTCGGATTTGTGACTGGCGTGTACACCCGCCTGGGCCATCTCACCGCGGCTAGCCTGGGACTTATTAACGGGACCCCTACAGAACCCCGTATGCATCAACTTTCCAGACCCCCGGCAGGATCTAGAAAGTAGATCCCCTAATTTGGGGCCCTATACTCCTAAGGGTAGCTTATAGGAACCCCCATTAAGGGATCTACTTTTTGGATCCTCCCGGGGCTCTGGGTTAAGGGTTCTACGAAGTCCCCAGTAAGACCCTCCAAGTGAAGCCTCGGCGTGCGCGGCCTCGCCGGGCTGGGTGCCCAGGTCCTCTGTCCAAGGTTGCAAGTACCCAGACCCCCGGGAGGATCCAAAAAATAGATCCCTTAATGGGGGTTCCTATAAAGTACCCTTAGGAGTATAGGGCCCCAAATTAGGGGATCTACTTTCTAGATCCTCCCGGGAGTCTGGGTGTCAAGGTTGCAAGTATGGGCCCCTAAAAGGGATGGTGGTCAAAATTAGGATCCCTTTTTGGGTCCTCATTATAATATGGCACCTATTGTTTAGGGTACCCCAAAAGGAACCTTAATTTTGACAGGCACCCATATGGACCTTTAGGCCTTTTTGAAGGGCTTCTAGGGACCGTTAAGAGTCTATAGAGGGTATCCGGTACGTAGAAAAGGATCCCAAGGTTAAGGGCCCATACAACATAAAGGATCATGGGACTTAGTAACTAGGGTTATAATTAGGGTAACTACACTTATAACCCCAATTAGGGTACTTATAACCTTACTTACTAAGTCCCATGATCCTCCAAGTAGACCCTAAACCCTAAACCCTGAACCCCAAACCCCAAACCCTTATAGTACCCCTATAGATCCCCTAATGGGACCCTGAACCCCCTACTTTCTAGGTCCATAAACCCTAAAGATCCTTTTAAGGAACCATATAGATCCTTTAAGGAGCCCTTATAGGAACCTAACTAAGTCCCATGATCCTCCAAGTAGGGGTCCATGCTTTCAACCGTTGTCCTTTGAGACCGGGGACTCGGATGAGGATCCCTCCTGGGGTCCTCGCCCTGAAGTCTACGATTTGGGGCTTTTAGGGTTTAGGGCCGAAAAGGGAACTCCAGACAGTTGGAATATGGTTTCATGGTAGGATACCCTATAATTCACCATAGAAGGGTCAGGATAATCATATTCCAACTTTCTGGCTTCTACGATTTGGGGCTTTTAGGGTTTAGGGTCCATAAGAGTTCTATAAGAGTTCCTTTAAAGGGATCTGTAAGGGATCTATAAGGGGCTTTTAGGGTTTAGGGCCTTAGGGTTCAGGGTTTTAGAGTTTACGGGCTGATGCTATATATCCTGCATTCCTTTGAGGAAACCTATGGTATGCGCCTCCTTATGGGTACTACAGGGTTCATATCATCAACCGTAGGTTGCCCAACTTCTTTATGATTCATGGTGTGAGGCCCCTTCGAACTCCCGAATCGAACGCCATTTTATCTAACAGATGCAAAGGCAAAAGCCACCTTAAACTGACAACATGGACGCCCTGCACACCGCACCCGACAAAGACGCACATGGCCTTAAGCCTAAACGCCTAAACACCCTGTTAAATGCTCCGAGGACCCTTCACTTAGATCTCCAATGCCCAACCTTTAAACTTTTTAGGTTCGTATGGTTTATTAGGAATCGGAAAGTTTAACCTTTTATTTCTGTGGCTTATTGGGGAGTAAGTTAAATGGCCTGAGACCGCGAGCACCCTGAACTCTTTACCCCTGGCCGGTAAAACCCTATCCACGACCCCCTGGTTCAGGATACACGGTCTAAGATTTTGGGTTCAGGGGCCAGGAGGGTCCGGGGTTTGTACACAGTCTAGGATTCTGGGTTTAGGGCCTGGGGTTTAGGGTTTTTGGGCTCAGGGCTCAGGGTGCACCGTCTGAGATTTGTGGTTGGGCCCAGGGTCCAGGTTTTCAGGGTGTAGGGTTGAGGGTACCTTATTCCAGTTCTTAAGTCCCCTACATTATAGTACCCGTATAAATCACTTGTACTAGCCCTTATATAGAACCTTTTAGACGAACCCCTCAACAAATATTAAGGCCCCTAGAATCCCTCTTTCCAAGTCCAGCAGCCGGACAGGGCATGAACTACGTTGCCGGTTTGCTGCTGCTGGTCTCTCGCTGCGAGGATGCAAAGCCTGTGCCACTGAGGGCGGGGGGCAAGGGTTTAGTAATTGGCGATTCGTACACCCTGAACCCTAGGCTTGATAGGTTTGGGCATACCGTAGAGCCGAGCCCTGTACACTCCACAGGGTTTGGGGTTTTGTTGATGTTGGGTTTAGTTTGTGGGTGCCTTGGGTAGCTAGGGTTTGGGGTCTTAGGTCTGCTTCGAGAACTGCGCGAGATACCGCAACTGATCCAGGATGCTGGGCTTCCTGGCTTTCCTATAGTCTCCTTAGGAATTACATGTTATGGTTTGTTATTTTGTTCATATAATACCCAAGAGAATATTAAAACTAGCATTTTATGATGGTTCTTTCATGTTTATTGTGGTTCTATAATTCTTATGATGGTTCTACTATTTTTATTACGGTTCTTAGGGGGGGGGTATAGGTTTCCAGGATGCCGACAGCAATGTGGTCCAGCAATTCGCCTCCCGCTGCATCTCTTGTTCCCCAGAGACTCCAAGATCCCTTGATTAAGGAATGTTCCTTAGATCATATAAGGGATCCTACTATAATTTAAGGTATACCCCTTAGTCAAGGAATATTCCTTAATGAAGGGATATTGGAGTCTCTGGGTTGTCAGTTCTAGTACAACAGGAAAGGCCAGTCGTCGTCGATACTGCCACCAGCAGTGACGATTGGTAATATAGGGGCCTGAATAATATTTACCGATACTATTTTGGGGGGCTCCTTATTATAGCTATAGTATATTGGGCCCCAAAACCCTGTTCTAATGATTACGGCCCCGATATTAGCAATCCTTCAGCCTGCGGTGGATCTCGAGCTCGAGAGCTGCACGTGCAGTCTGCTGACCGTCCTGCCTGCAACGACGAAAGCTACCCTGCATAGGCTCGGAGGTGCGACGGTTCGGACGGCAACTGAGTTCGAGTAGCGTTTGTTGTCATTACCCTTATATAGCAATCCTGCTAAAACTTTTAGAGTGACCCTAGCTTTTTCAAGTAACCCTTTCAACGCATGGATCCCTTTTCTAACACAACCCCAAACCCCTGAACCGTTCCCTCAACCCCCGAACCCTAAACCCCCTGAACCCGGAAGCCATCCCTAAATCCCTCAACCCCTAAACCCTCCACCCCTCAACACTAAACCCCTAAACCCCAAAGCCTAAACCCTAAATCCCTAAACCCCTACACCCTCCTAAACCCTAAACCCCTAAACCTCTAAGCCCTAAATCCTTTGAGCCCGGCTCTCCCCACACAAAACGGCCGAGCACTGCGCAGGAGGAAAGCTTCTGGGTCTTCGTGCGGCTCATGGACCATGAGGTCGGTAGTAGGGTTGCTGCTTTAAGGGTTCTTAAGGGGGTTCCTTAGAGGGTTCTAAAAGGGATTTAGAGGGGTTTAGGGTTTATAGTCTACTTGGAGGATCATGGGACTTAGGTAGTAGGGTTGCTGCTTTCTTTAATTAGCACCCCAAAAGGGATCCTCATTGGGGTTATGAGTCTGTAGCATCCCTTTATGGGAGCCCTTACAGAACCCTGTAGATTCCGTGGAGGATCTTAGTAGCTGAGTGGATACACTTTACATTTTTTGGGATAATATTACCCACTATAAAACTGAAAATGTACACTTTTTGGGGCTTGTGAACTCAGCAACTAAGTTAAGGACGTCTCAGGGTTGCTTAGGGGCTTAAGGGCTCTGATATCAGGTCGGCTGTGGGGTTTCTTGTGTTCTGCCGGTTTAAAGGTTTAGGGGTTAGGGTTTAGGGGCCTAGGGGATGATATCACGTCGGCTGCAGAGTTTCTGCTTTGTATACGGAAGCAAGGTTTACTGGGTTTCTTCTTTCTTCAACTAGGTATCGTCCCAAAGATATAAGTACCCTAAAAGGGATCCTAATGGGGTTGGGATGCTTATAAGTCTTTACTAGGTGTCGATTTGCGATATTTTACAATTTCCCTTATTGTTTAATCTAGAACCCTAATGATAAATGATTTTGGGGACTGCTGAAATCGACACCGAGTCAAGGAAGTAAAGTTCGGGCTCTAGGAAAGTTTGGGATGGCTTAGGATACTTTAGGGGTCTAGGGCTTGAGGGGCTTTGGGGGTTTTGGGTGTAGAGGTCGGGGGCAAGTGTTTGAGTTTATACGGTCGCTCAGAGTTTAGATCCACAGCTAGTGCGCATCACTGCCAGTAGGCATCAGGCAACTGAACTCAGCGCCACGCCGGGCGACAGAGTCCGGCGCGGAGAGGACGTTTCGTCTCAAAAGCCACAGGACGATCAAAGAAACACTGACAGCAACCTTCCCAAGAAGTTGTTAACGGAACCCTTCCTTCAAGATAACTCTAAACAAACCCTTGAAGGAACCCTTGAGCCTTATACCCTACACCCCAAGCCCTAGACCCTGAACCCCTCAAGGGCCCCGAATTCTCCTAAAGCCCTTAAAGCACTAAGCCGCTAAGGCCTTAAGGATGTCGGCTCTAAACTCTTTGGCTTTTCAAGCTTATTGCCCTGAACCTTCAAAGGAACCCTTAAAGGGACCCTTAGTCCCTAAACCTTTTGAGGGAGCCTCAAACCCCAAACCCTTAAAGGGACCCCTTCGCAACCTCTAAAGCCGTAACGAAATAAGGCCTAAACCCTAAAGCCCTCAACCCGAAACCGTAAACTCTAAATCCTAAATCCCAAAGCACTAAATCCTAGACCCGACAGCCCTAAACCCTAAACCTAATCTCTAAACCCTAAACCCGATTCTCAGAATCTCTAAACCCGCAACCCTAATCTCAGAATCTCTAAACCCTAAACCCTAATCTCTAGAACCCTAATCTCTAATCTCAAAAACTCTAAACCCTAAACCTTAATCTCTAAGCCCTAAACCCTAACCCTAATCTCTAAACCCTAAACCCTAATCTCTAAACCCAATCTTTAATCTCTAAACCCTAAACCCCATCTCTAAACCCTAATCTCTAAATCTCTAAACCCTAAACCCTAATCTCTAAATCTCTAAACCCTAAACCCTAATCTCTAAATCTCTAGACCCTAAACCCTAATCTCTAAACCCTAAACCCTAGTCTCAAAATCTCTAAACCCTAATCTCAAAATCTCTATACCCTAAACCCTAAACCCTAATGTCTAAAACCCTAGTCTCGAAAGCCCCAAACACCAAAGACCGGGAGGATTTCGGCCTCGGTGGTTTCTACGTGGGTCGGCGCCGGCCTCAAAGATAGACGATCAGCAATCCACCAAACCCTACTTGGAGGGTCGGGGACTTAGTAAGTAGGTAGTAAGTAGACTTATAAGTCTCCTAATAATTTACTAGGTCCCCCGACCCTCCACGTAGGGACCTAAGGACTTCAGGGCTCCTTTAAAGGGTTACTATAAGGGCTCTATAAGGGTTCCTTTAAAGCGCAGTCCACTAAACCCTAGGGATCTAAGGACTCATATGGGCTTGTCAAAATTAGGGTCCTTTGTTGGGGCTACGTTAAGGCTACTATAAGGGATCCTTACTAGGGCTCTCAATATGGGAGTTTCCACTAAACCCCAAGGGGTCTAAGCACTCATATGGATGATTCCTTTCAAAAGATTTATAAGGGGTCCTTTAAAGCGATGTATAGGGTTTAGGGATTTAAGCACTCATATGGGAGTTTCCGAAAATGGGGGCGGGAGGGGGGGTACGTTATTTTGGGGTCCTTATAGTAAGGATCCTACTATTACGGTATTATATTAGGGTCCCCTATTTTCGGAAACTCTCATATATTGAGGCTTTTGGAAAGGCCATACTATGTAGGGCTTTTGGGCTATTTTGATCCCCCCTAGGGTAAACTACAAGTCTGATGGTTGAGGGGTTTGGGGCGTAGGGTTGACGGGTTTAGGGGTTTGGGGCTTTAGGAGTTTAGGGCTTAGGGGTTTAGGGTGTAGGCAATTAAGTAGGGTGTAGGGTTTAGGAACCGAGCTCTTCGCAGCCGGAGGAGGAGGCACTCGACCAACACCTTGTTTCCCTTTGCGGGGAGAGAGGTGGGCTTCTCCATCTCCTGGCATCGACTGCGAGGAGCGCTGTCGCTGCCACTGCATGCTGCAGTGGCCATGGAGGTCTCCGAGGAAGGGAGCCGGGGAACAGTACGTTCACTCACCGTCGGCTGGGGCTCCATCGGTCTGCGCCTCGGGGCAAAGGCCCAAGGATGCGAAGAGACGAGTCGTGAATGGCTCGGCACCTACTACTACTACTACTACTACTACTACTACTACTACTACTACTACTACTACTACTACTACTACTACTACTACTACTACTACTACTACTACTAGTACTAGTACTACTACTAGTACTAGTACTACTACTACTACTACTACTACTACTACTACTACTACTACTACTACTACTACTACTACTACTACTACTACTACTACTACTACTACTACTACTACTACTGTACTACTACTAGTACTACTACTACTACTACTACTACTACTACTACTACTACTACTACTACTACTACTACTACTACTACTACTACTACTACTGCTACTACTATCACTACTATTACTACTTCTTCAGGGCTTAGAGTTTAAACACCATAAACCGGATTCCCTTCCAAGGAGTATTCCTTTGCTTTGAACAGGGCAGACAGGGCTGATGAGAAGAAGGCAAGTCGCGTAGAAGTTTGAAAATTGAGGGGCCCAAAACAGAGGCCCTACTTGGAGGGTCGGAGGACTTACTCAGTTATCAAGTAGCTACTTCATAGGCTTATAAGTATCATAACCCAACAAGGACCCCTTTTACGGGACTTATAAGTCCACTTGTTACGTACTTACTAAGTCCCGCCACCCTCCAAGTACTCCATAGTCGAGATCCTTCTCTCAGAACGCCCATGGTTTTCTAAGCAAGATTCTTTATCCTTTTCCAATCTATTGTCCAAGCCCTAGCCCGCGGGCCTTGTGCCGAAACCCACCGTGGGATCCACTTGCACAAATAACTACCGCATTCGGGTACTTGGTTTAGGGTTTAGGATTGAAGGGGGATCCTCTTTGTGCTGGAACACTCCACTGAGTCGATGCATCAAAACCACCGCCCAAAGTGGGTTTAGGGTTTCAGGGAAGATCTAACCCTCTTTCCTAAGCCCGGCATCCGAAAAAAAGAAAAAAGCATTGAACTGAAGGAAACTTTACGAACCCTAAACCGAAACCCTAAACCCCTACACTCCACGGGCTGCTTTTCAGACTGCCCCTTCTCCGACGCTACCTCCGCGCTTGCGAGCCGCTGGGCTGTTATAAAGTGCTCGAAACGGTTTAGGGTTTATAAGGGTTTAGGGTTTGGGTGCGCCAGGGTTGGGGAGGTTCAGTCCTTGTTTTGGGGGGTTCCTTTTAGGGTTCCTTCAGAGTCCTATTCAAACTGTGCTGGGTTCTGGAGTGCAGGCCCCTTCTTGGAGGGTCGGGGACTTTGTAAGTAGTTATCCAGGCTGTTCACTGGTACACATTTTTACTTTCAGGTTTCTGGGTTCCTATTACAAAATAAAAAGCCTTAAAGAAGTATATACTTGTTCCCGGTGGGTTACTGAACAGCCTAGTTATTTTGGGGCGGGTTCCTTTCAAAAGGGGTCTATAGGGAGTACATTAAAGGGTACTAAGGGGGGGGGTGTTAGTAGTTAGCATAGCGGCCAAAATACGTATCTATATTACTTTAAAGGTTCCTTACTATAGTTAATTATAGTATAGTGGGCCCCCAAAACCCTATTCTTTTATACCATTAAGGCCCCCATATCAGTCCCTATGAGTAGATTGGGCCTACCTTCCTCGCAAAGCCACCTGACCTTCATCCTGAGAAGAACCTTCATAAGGCCCTAAAGGAGCCGTCATATGCACTGCCACGCCAGGCGAAATGCGATTGCTTTCGCTTTTTGCCAAGTGTGTTCGCGGATGAATGATCTTGCAGAGACGTTCAGGGCATCGAGCGCCTCAGAAGGAATTTGTTAGAAAAACATACACACGGCGCCAGTCTGGCACGCGCGCCCGCGCAAGCTGCCCCGCAAGCGCGCGGACGTGGCCGCGAACGTGCCACAACATCGTTTCGATCTTCGGCAATGACCAGCATATTAGTCCATCATCGGAGCTGCTCTCTTGCATTACTCCACTGGGTGTTCCTAGCCATTCTCAAAGACAGTTGTGCAACCTGCACCAAGGCAGTTCATTCTTGCATCAAAGATCTGCTCTGGCAGGATCTGCAGAAGATCATAGGAGGCCAAAGGGGGTTTTAGCCTATGGGGGTTTAGTAGGGGTTAGGGTTCCCATAACGGGGTTCATATTCGGGGATCCCAACCCCAAGAATCTTAAACCCCCCTTTTGGCCTCGCATCAGAAGAGCAGCCTGGTTCCCTTCTGGCTCCTGTGTTGTCGCAGTGTCTTCTGAAACCAGAGGGTCCATATACACTACCATTATGGAATCAGGTCCCAAACGACAATCCCTATTATGGTTTTGGGGGACCTAATTCCATAATGGTAGTATATGTGGACCCTCGGGGGAAGCGGACTCATCCAGAGATGACCCGACCGTCCGCGTCGATGCTGATGGCACTGATCCTAGAAACCCTTCTTCCGGACTGAAAGGATCATGGGACTTAGTAACTAGCGTTATGATACCCCAATTAAGGTGCTTATAACTTTACGGACTAGGTCCCATGATCCTCCAAGTAGATCCTAAATCCTAAACCCCTATAAGATCCCCTACAGAACCGTTTAAGGAACCCCTTGAAGAACCCTTTGAGTTAAGGTAAGTTCCATGATCCTCCAAGTAGCCAGAACACTCGCTTGCGCCTGGGGGAGCTCTGTCGGCGCTTCCCCGCTCGGGGCCTGTCCCCCAACATGCACCCAAAACGAGCATGTCAAGTCTACGCCCGGCTTTAAGGGTGCAAGGCAGCTTTCAGTTTGTGGTTGAGGGTTTAGGGCTTAGGTGGTAACTCTTCAAAACGAATATGAATGTTCGAAATTTCTGAGCCCCAACAATTCGTATCAAACATCGTTATGCCAGCCAACGCAAACCCTTAGTAGCAGTAGATAGCCTTTAACTTTCGAAGGTTTGTATAATCCTACCATAATTGCAAAGCCTAGCCTTGTTTGGGCTAGGGTACTCAGCCTAAACCCTAAACACTAAGCTGCTTAATTAAGCCCTAAACCCTTAAACCTTAAACCCCTAAACCCTAAACCCCTAAACCCTAAACCCCCACACCCTAAACCCCCAAACCCTAAACCCCCACACCCTAAGCCCCTAAACCCTAAACCCCTAAGCCCTCTAAGAACCCGGGAACATCGAAGGAACCTCGTCGCGGAGTCACTACCGGAGTTGCACTGGCCCCAGGGATGCGTTCTTCGCCGTTTCATGGCCCCGTTCCTGCTTGGAGGGTCGGGGTTTTATGGTTTAAGGGCTTAGGGGTATAGGGGCTTAGGGGCTTTGGGGTTTAGGGGCTTAGAGGTTTAGGGGCTTAGGGGTTTAGGGTTCAGGGGTTTAGGGTTTAGGCGTTTAGGCGTTTAGGGTTTAGTACGCAGTCATCTTATAGACTTTTAAGTAGCATAACCCCAATCAGGGACCCGTTTAAGGTACACTTACTACCTACACACTTAGTCCCCCGACACTCCAAGACCCCCGATAGCACCCTTATAGATCCCTTTAAAGGAGCCCTTAAGGACGCCCTTATGATCATTTTTTACTAAGGTGTTTAATGAAGGAAGCTGGTGAGGAGCCTTGGGTCCCGATTAGGGGCTCGTAGTATGGGAGTTTCCGTAAGTTACGGGGGTACCTAAGGGTTCCTTTAAAGGGCTACTCTAAGGCTCCTATAAGAGATCCTTAATAGGGCTCTCAATATGGGAGTTTCCGACAATTAGGGGTACCTTCTTCTGGGGTCCTGAAAATAAGGATCCTACTATAGAAGGCCCCCTTATTGTCGGAACCTCACATGTGGATCCTAATATGTTGGGGGTCATAGAGCCAGAGTTTCTTAAACAGGTTCCTACAGTGGACGTTTCGGAAGCGAAAAGGAGGGACCCTTAATGGGGACCCCTACCCTATAATGGGCTATATAATGGGTATATCATAGCTATATTAAGGGTATATAACCTAGGGGTCCTTATTAAGGGTCCCTCCTTTTCCCTTTGGAACGTTCAAGGATTTCGGCTTCCATGTCATCCCTTTATTTGCATCGTGCTTGGCTCCTACTGCAGTTCCAATACATACCACGTGCGTGTTGAAATCCCTCCTGGTAGACTAACCTACAAGACACCGAAAAGATCCAAAAAGTAGATCCCCTAATTGGGACGCTATACTACTAAGGGCTTTTTGTATAGGACTAGGACTTGCTTCCAGGGATCCTCAAGCTTCGATCCTTTAGGGGGTCTTACTAGGATGCCCAGTAGTACCCTTATTCCCTTTTTGTAGTCCTAGGTTCCTTATAAAGTTACCCAATACCAAAAAGAGAGGCCTTTTTTTATTCTTAGGTTACTGGGTATCCTACCCTAAACCCTAAACTCTAAACCCCAAACCCTAAACCCTAAACCCCTAACCCATAAGAACCCCAAAAAAGGATCCTAGCTCAGCTTCCACTGGTACAGTCGCTACATGTGGCAGTTCACGCTCTAACAGGTGTCAAAGGGGAAAAGGAGGGACCCTTAATGGGGACCCCTACCCTATAATGGGCTATATAATGGGTATATAATAGCTATATTAAGGGTATATAACCTAGGGGTCCTTATTAAGGGTCCCTCCTTTTCCCCTTGGAAGGTGCTTCGCACAACAGAAGCAGTACACAACCAAGACCTTGAGTAGTAGGAGCCTGAGTATATTAGACGGACCCCCAAACAAGTAGCGTACCTGTAACTTATCAAGAAACACTTTGCTGAAGCCATAATTACCAATATCTTGTCAATGACGCTGTAGCACAAGACTGTTCTAAGATTCTTACAAGAATTTAGAGCCCTAGAACACTACCTGTGACCCCAAACCCTACCAGTTGGTGGGTTATGAAGCTCACCTGTCTGCGGAAGATGTTGTTCAGACAGCCGCTACGCATTTTCACAAGGCTCGAGATATTCTTGTGGATATTTTCAGCAATCTGTTGAGCAGACAGCACAGGCGGACACAAGAATGCGTCACCACACTGCGTGCATTCTTTGAACGAGAACAGATCTTCGAGATTGCTGGAGCTGAAAAAGATCCGCGCATTGAAATTGAATATGAGCGCGAAGGAAGTCACCCAAAGCTACAGGACGTGTGTGTCCAGTCAATGGCGCGGTGAAGCAGAGCCGCTTTGGCACTGCGCCAGTGCGCTCGTCGACGACGTCATTAGTGACATCGACGGAGCTCCACTTCATTAGAGAGTAGAACCCTTAAAGTAAAAGCCAGAAAGTTGGAATATGATTATCCTAAACCCTTCTATGGTAAACTATAAGGTATCCTACCCTCAAATCATATCCCGACTTTCTGGAGTTCCCTTTAAAACGGTAGGTTTCCCCAGGTACAGCCTCAGCACTCAAGCCTAAATCCGCAAAACCAGAAGCAGCTCCTACTTGCAGCGTCGGGGCCTTCGTACCCAGCCTTCTCCTTTTTCATGGTTCCCCCAAAAGAATAAACAGACCGGCTAGTAGACCTTCTTAAATAATTCCTGCTAAGGGATATAGGTATAGGGCCCTGTCTATTATTTCAAAAAGGACAAGGGTGTTCGTACCTAGTTGGGAGTTTTCGAAAATTCGGGGTACCTCATTTGGGGGGCCCTTATCATAAGGATCTTACTGTTTAGGGTGCTATACTTGGGTCCCCTACTTTCGGAAACTCCCAGTTGCTGAATGAGTTTACAGGATCCTATGAATGTCTATCTTAATCCGAATGAGCACCCCTGTTAGGACTTATACGTAATTGTTTTATGAACCTGTAACCCCCAAAATAGTAGGATTCATATAAGGAACCCTAATAAAGGCCCAAGGTTTCTTAATCAGGTTCCTACATTATACCAGCACCCCTGCTTAAACCCTAAACCCTAAAGACAAGCCTTACCAGCACCCCCCCCCCTCCCCCAAGTCCCCCTTTCATAGAGATCCCATGCAAAGCATGTACTTGGAAAGGGTGGCTGGAGGGCGGGGTAGTTGAGAATCTGGGTTGCGGGTTTACTTGGAGGGTCGGGGGACTTAGTAAGTAGTTGTTTTAGGGACTTACAAGTATCATAACCCAATTAGGGTCCCTTTTAAGGTACATATAAGTCAGTATAAGTCTACTTACTACCTACTTACTAAGTCTCCCGACCCTCCAAGTAGCTGTGAGGATCTGGCGTTTAACGTTGAGAGTTGTGTAGGTTTAGGGGTTTAGTGGATTGGGGTGAGACTTGTGACAGCCCTAAACGCTAAACCTTCTAAGGCTAGGTACCTGAGTAATTAGTACCCTTTTGCCTAGGGTCTTCTAGCAAAACCAAATAGTAAGGAAACGGGTACCCTTTCTATAATGGGGCTACTCAGGAACCTAGTAAGTCCTGCATGTCACGGAGCTGCGGCAAGGCGAGAGCACTTCATCAAGCAGAATGTGCAGCCCGCTGTGTGACTTGGCTTCTTTAAACGCAAACCACGAGCCTGAGGGTCCCACTTCTGAGGGTCCATTGCCTTCTTGGAGGGTCGGGGGACTTAGTAAGTAGGTAGTAAGTAGACTTATAAGTACCCTAAAAGGGACCCTAATTGCGGTTGTGGTACTTATAAGTCCCTAAAATAACCAGTTACTAAGTCCCCCCGACCCTCCAAGTTCCCAGACTAGGATCATGGGTTTCCAGGTTCAGGGCTTGGCCACGAGGCAGACTGGGTTCTTGTTAGAGAGTTTACTTTAGGATAAGGGCTCCTTTAAGGGATGTATACGGGTTCCTTTAAGGTTTAATGGTTTGAGGTTTGAGTTACCATAATAAAGAAACTATATTTTTGCTATAACTCTCTAGTAGCAAGAACCCAGACGAGCGTCTCCCACTAAGGTATCTACTATCGGGATCCTTCCGGGGGTGTAGGACCCTAAGCCCTACTACGCATCGCGAGAGTCTTCCTCAGGTTCCTACTTGGAGGGTCGGGGGGCTTAGTACGTAGTTATCGTACAGATCATATCCCAATCAGGGACCCTGTTAAGGTACGTATAATTCTTACTACCTACTTGCTAAGTCCCCGGACCCTCCAAGACCCCTTATAGAACCCTTGTAGACCCTTATTAAGAGAACCCAGGTGGCAGGTCAGTTTGTGTCTTCTTACTACCTACCTGCTGAGTCGCACGACCCTCCAAGTACCATCCAAAAGAACCACGGTCTTACGTCTGCCTTTGCGAGGCACCACTACCCGGGGGGCTGTGATTTCCTAAAACACAATCTTCAGGGTTTCAAGAAGCCTATTTAACTAAGGAAAGTCTTTTTTTACCAATACCTCAAACCCTAAACCCCTAATTAACCCGACACCCTCAACCCTAAACCCCTAAACCCTACAACTCTTTGCTCCCAAGTCCCAGGTATTTGCACCAGTGGTTCTTAACGCTTTTCATCAACTGCTTTCCCATCTCAATGGTCCGGAGCTCAGCAACTGTGTTTAGGGTTTGGGGGTTTAGCTCCGTGGTACGGAGCTCAGCCCCAAATTTGGGGTTAGGGAAGTTTAGGGCTTAGGGTTTAGGGGTTTAGGAGGTGTTTAGGGCTTAGAGCGTTGTAGGGTATAGGGCTTTAGTAGAGTTTAGCGTGTAGGGGTTTAGGGGTTGGGGTTTAGGGGTTTTAGGGGTTTGAGGGTTTAGGGGTCTGGGGGAGCTCAGCCCCAAACCCTACATACGTCAAACCATGAACTCCCAAAGCCCTTCAAACGCCACAAGCCCTATAAGCTCTTTAAGCTTCAACGCTGCAAAAAAGACCGCCTGAACACCGAAAGCCGTACCCAGACCACCGGAAGGATCTAGGAAATAGAATTCGATAAGGGTACTTTCTGGAAACCCCCTTCAGGGAACTACTTTTTGAATCCTCCCAGCGGCCCAGCGGTCTGGATTTTGCTTAACTCCAGTACAGTACAAATTGCGTCGTCGACCTTTTTAGTAGTACACTGTCCAAATTAATGGAAGTACCACTTTCTAGATCCTCTCGGAGATTCTGGATTAAGAGACCGTGTGAGGTGATGATCCTCTGGGACGTCATCATGTGCGAAGGCCTCACGGTGATCCTGCGAATCGCGGTGTCCATTCTCCAGGCGCACCAGAGTGACAGCTATATAATACAGGGGCTTAGAATAATTACCTCTACTATTTTGGGGCATATCCTTATTATTGTTATAGAAAAATGGGCCCCAAGACCACCACATTGGAGGGTCGAAGGTCCATTTTTTGGCATGTCACGAGCAAGTTCTCGGCACGTGTGTTTAGTTGCACGGATGTTGAGGCTTTACAGGTATTGGGAACCACAAAACGCATGCTCTTCCAGTAGGTCCCAGAAGTGGGCAGTGGGTGTGCTTCCTCTTTTCTTGTGGGGTTCCTGTTGCGGACTGAACCACAGGGAAGAGGAACCCTAGGACAGGCAAGGGACAGCTTGAAACCTCAGGGCTGCATACTCGGCGGTGTAGAGCCTTGTGGCATGACCTACAGTGGGACGGCTCCCGGCAATGCCTCTGCAGCATACGTTCTTAGATAATGGCTTAATTACTATACGAAAGACATCCGGCGGCTTTTCATTTTTACAGTCAGCCACCATACAAGCATCTGAGACTCTGCAGGTCTCTTAGCAAGCGACACGCTTTCACAAACTCGGCACAAAGAGGTGTGCGGCGAGCACTGTGCCAACTTGAACGGCTCCCTAAATCCTAAACCATAAACCCTAAATCCTAAACCCTAGATCCCTAAACCCTAAACGATAACCCCAAAGCCCAAAGACATCTCGTAAAGGACATCTCGTTTCATGCAATTTCAGGAAAGCCTTGAGGACTCTAGGAGCTTCAGCTTTGTAATCCCGAGCCCTTCTGCAAACCCCTAAATCCTACCCCCGGGAGGATCCAAAAAGTAGATCCCTTAATGTGGGCTCCTGTAAAGTACCCTGAGTAGTATAGGGCCCCAAATTAGGGGATCTACTTTTTGGTTCCTCCCGGGGGTCTGGGAATCGTACCCCTGCTGATTTAGGAGCCTGAATAATTCGAACAGGGTTTTGGAGCCCATAATATTACTATACATAATCAGGACCGCCCCCCCCCCACCCAAAACAAAAACAATAGTGCAGGTAGTTATTAAGGCCCCTAGATTACTGACTGCGACGTGTTATGACCGGAGATCCAGCAAGACCCCTAAACCCTAAACCCTAGACCCTAAACCCTAAACCCTAGACCATAAACCCTAAACTCAAGGCCTAGGCCGCCCACCTTCGATGGTGGGCGGCGCTTAAGCCCCTCGACATCCATGGCGCAGGTCGATCCAGGACGCTCGCCCACCGTCGCTAAAAGGGGACCCCCCGGGGGGCTTGGAAGCTCCAGCGAGCAGAGTTCCAGGACTTGGGCCCGCCCCCCTCACCCCCCCCTTGACCCTCCTTCCTGGTCTCTGGGCCCCCTGGGCCCCCCTGGCCCCTCTGGCCCACCTCCTGCCGCACTCTGCCCTCCTCTCCCCTGGCTTTTTTTTAAGCAGAAGCTTGGCTGCAGAATTGTGTGGTTGTTGTTAACCAACATGGACCTAACAGAGTTTAGGTCCTAAACCCTAAAAGGTATAGGTTTGGGTGGTTTGCCGCCTCAGACGGCGTGGGGTGGGTGAGTTATATGATGGCCCGCCACAGTCGGGCCATGTCTGCGATTCGCAGGCAACAAAACCGCTAAAAAATCCTACAATCCGTGTTACACTACCGCTACGCGGTGTCTGCGATTCGCAGGCAACAAAACCGCTAATAAATCCTACAATCCTTGTTACACTACCGCTACGCAATCTTGCAGCAAACCCTAAACCCTAAACCCTAAACCCTAAAGCAAGAGGCTGCGATAGTACCCCAAGGACCGACGACTCGACTGACACACCCCCAAACCTTCCCTAGGACCTAGAGTAGGCCCTTATTCCCTTTTTTGAGGCTTAGGTTCCCTTATAAACCCCTTTAAACCAAAAAGGGCACCCTTTTTATTCCCAGGTTACTCGTGGGTCTAGCCAAACCTTCCGGCAGACTCTACAGTTGGTTAGGATGTAGGGGTTTAGGGTGTCTATAAAGGGGTCTGTAAGGGTTACTTTAAGGGTTCCCATAAGGGTTATTATGGGGTTGCGGGATTTGGGGCTTAGGGGTTTAGGGTTTAGTTGGGCTTAGGGTTTTAAGGTTTACCTGTAGCCGAAAAGACCTACCTTTTTAAGGAACTATATATCGAAACCATAATAAGGAACCCTAAAAAGGTAGGTCTTTCCGGCTACAGGGAGGGTTTAGGGATCTGCAACCTCAAACCCCTGGAGGACCTGAGGATCCAGGAACTAGGTCCCTGGATTTGGGGCTACGGTTGATGATATGAACTAACCACTGATATTGGAGGAACTAAGGAGCCAGGGATGATGATAATCCCTAGTAAATCAGGAGCTGAAGAGCCAAGGGAGCCCCAAAACCACTGGTTAGTGAATCCTGCATTGCCCATAATAAGGAATATACCAATATTCCCATAGTTTAGGGTCCTTGAGGTAATGCAAGGTTTATATCATCAACAGTAGTAGCTGGGTAGGTAGCCTTTAGCCTTTTGGGGTTTGTATAACCCGACCATATTTGAAAAGGTTAACCTCTTTTGGGCTAGGATACTCGGCCACTACTGCTGATGGACAAAATCCTGCATGACCATGGGGACTCTAAACTATGGGAACTATGGTATATTCCTTATGAAGGGTAATGCAGGATTTTGTCCATCAACAGTATGACTACAGGTTGCTCATAAGGGAAACTGCCTTAAGGGATCCACTTTCAAAAAACCCTCAAGGGTCTGGGCGAAAAATCGGATGTTGCAGAGTTTCCAGGCTACCTCGTCCCTGAAGGTTGGGGCTCCAGAACCGCAGTCCCAAACCCTCAGCCCTTGAATGGCTCCCATGTTTTCAAGAATCCTAGAACCCCACCACAAGAGGGCTCCGGGAAGCTTCGGCTTCACCTCTACAAGAGGGCTCAGAATTTGCTAAACCCTCAATCGTATGCGCTGAGCCCTATATTCTTAAACCTTACAAACGAACCCTAAATCCTAAACCCTAAACCCCTAAACCCTAAACCTTAAACCTAAACCTTAAAGTCATCCCTAAATCCTAGATCGTCTGCGGCGAGGTCTTGAAAGACTCGCTTCTCTCCATGGAGTTCGAGGCTAGCGGGCAAAAAGCTCAGGATTACTTGGAGGATCATGGGACGTATTAAGTAAGGTTTTTAGTACCCTAATTGGGGATAGCAACTATAAGTATAGTTACCTTAGTTATAACCCTAGTTACTAGTTCCCATGACCCTTTAAGTAGGGTTTCGGGTCTAGGACATACCTGGGACTTCAAGTCGCCAGTGCCTTTTTTCGGGCTCCTGATTACGGTTGATGATATAAATCCTGCATTACCTTAAGGATCCTAAACTTTGGGAATTATGGTATATTCCTTACTATGGGCAATGCAGGATTTATATCACCAACCGTTATGATGCCTCTTTACACGTCCAGAAAAAAGGTGAGTGCCTTTCTTTTCAGGGTCCCTGATTAAGATTATGATGCCTTTTTACTCCAGAAAAAGGTGGGTTATTTGGGGTTGGGACATGGGTTTTACCATTTCGGGTTAAGGGGTTTGCACCTGGCCATTTGATACTCTGAACCCTGAGTCCATACACCCAAATCCAAACACTGAGCCTGGGTCCTGTGACTGGGTTGAGCTGGCCTTTTCAAGAGGGATCCTGCATATTTGCTATCACGTCAAACTTCAGACCATACGTAGCACGTAAAGGGTCATGGGACTTACTAAACTAACTAGGGTAATAATTAGGGGAACTATACTTATAATTACTGATAACCCCAATTAAGGCACCTATAATCTTCTCATGATCCTCCAAGCAGGAGCCAAACAGCCGAGAGAATTACCATGGGTTTGGCTGCCTGAAGCAATGCAGCCCTAAACCGTGAAGTAGTACAAAATGTCACCCATGAGGCATAGGAGGCAAGGTGCGCCTGAAGCGTAGAGTCACTATGATGCTCTACTGGGTGTTGAGTTGACCCCTGAGGGACTCTGAACGCCTTTGGTGTGCGACAAGTTATATTAATAGTACAAATAAGGAAATGATACTGGCGATGTAGGCCCATGGTCAATAGTCCGTCTCGCCCAAGATGGTTTACAATAGGTGATGCTCGTATTAGGACCTTTAAAAAGAAGTGGTTACTTGATGAAACCCTTAACCCTAAACTCAAAACCCCTAAACCCTAAACCCTTTACCATCATAAGTAGTCGTTACGGTGCGGCCCGCTTGTGAGATTCAGATGATGGCTCTCAGCTTGGACCCCAGTATATGAGCCCGTAAACTGGCAGGGCTCTTAAGGGTGCGGTAAATGCTAGATCATACGGTTGATGATATAAATCCTGCATTACCTGAAGGGCCCTAAACTATGGGAGTTATGGTATATTCCTTACTATGGGCAATGCAGGATTTATATCATCAACCGTAGTTCGGCCTTACAGCCTAATGCAGTCCAGGAATCCTTAGCAACCACGTGGCAAGAAAAGCAACCAAGCCGCACATTCCCAGACCCAGGGGAGTCCTTTTACGTACCCTTAGTAGTATAGGGCCCCAAATTACTTTCTAGATCCTCCCGGGGGTCTGGGAAGAAAAGCAACCAAACCCTAAACCCTAAACGCTGTGAGGAGATTATCAAGTTCTTCAAGATGATGAAGACCTATCACGACGAGGCCTTCCCTACTTGGAGGGTCGGGGGACTTAGTAAATAGTTATTTTAGAGACTCATAAGTATCGTAACCCCTATTTAGGCTGCCTATTAGGGTACTTATAAGTCTACTTACTACCTACTTACTTAGTCCCCCGACCCAGTAGGTGGATGTGTGAGTGGTATCCTTTTGCCCTGTTTCTTTTTGGCTTTCCTTGTTAACACCAAATAGTGGAGCTAGGAAAGGGGTAAGCCCTAAACCGGGCTTCTTAGTGGTTAAGGCTTTGGTGATTCCGCTGTTCTTGAACACATTCCCGAAACGCCAACTAGTACCTTCCATGCAGAGAACCTGCTGGCTAGAATAGAGAATGCAATCCTGCAGGAAATGATACTCTAAGGAATTCAAAAGTCAGTATCCTGTTGCTGTGGAGGAAGCTTTTACACAACAAAATAAACTTCAAGCTCTAAACAACGACAAACCCACAGGGATCTACTTGTGGGGTCATTTAGGGTCTATGTCTATGTACTCTTAACCCAGCTTTAAAGAATCTATGTGCTTAGATCTTAGATAATGAAGGCAAGAGAAACTACGGCTGATGACATAAATCCTGCATTGGCCATAAGAAGGAATATACCCTCATTACCATTAAGGTAGTGCAGGATTAATATCATCAACCTAAACCCTAAAGCTTCAAATCCTATAGTTCCCTCCAAGGAACCCTTAAAGGTACCTTGTTAGATCCCTTTAACGGAATGCCAGGATTTATATCATCACCCTCAACCCTTTTCCCTCAAGATCCCTTTCAAGGAACCCTTAAACATACCCTTATAGATCCCTTTAGAAAAGGGCTTCATATCATCAACCCTGTGACAATGGTGCTGGGTAGCTCCATGGGAGAGCCCCGACTCTCCACAAGGGTCTGCCATTGTCATAGGGACCCTTGGGGGAGGTGAAGGTTTCGACGTTTCGGGTTTAGGGGTTTTGGGATTAGGGGCTTAGGGTTTTGCCCATAAGAAAGACTTCATAACGCCTATTTAAGGAAGTATAGTCCCCTACCCCCTCCCCTCTACCCCCTAAATATCCCTATGGCATTGGGTGTCTGTGTGGTCTCATAAATCCGAGTCAGGTGGCCTCACTTCGTGGTATAGGCATCGGCCTTACGGTGTTAATGTGTAGAGTTTCTACCGCCAACAAATTACCACCTGCCTCATCAGTAGCAGAAGTAGTAACTAGTAGTTGTGGTGGTGGTGGTGAGCCTGAAACTTTAAAACCTGGTAACAAATAGTACCTCTCAAAGTCCCTGCATAGTCTACATTGTCATAGCATAACATTCCTCCAAGAAACTTTTCTGAGTGTAAAGGACCCTACAGAACAGCGATCCAAATCAGGACGGTGAGCTCGGCGCTGTCAAAATCGGACAGCTGTCCGAGACCAAGTGTTCAAGATTTGATATAGGTGCCTGAATGGAGTAGGGTTCCTCTAAGGGGTCAAAGCCCTCATTAAGGAATGTTCCGCGGATCATGATCATGGGTCTTGCGCATGAGGTGTTTGCAAGGGGGTTCGGGGTTTAGGATATGCGATCTCAGCCATCTTGGCAATGTTGGGCTGTCTGGATTTCTAGAAAAGTAGGACGCTGTACCCAGGTGGCGGGTGAAAATTTATCATCGGGTTTTTACTTTGGATCCTCCCGGAGGTTGGGGTAGGGGATGAATTGCGGAGGGTCGTCAAGCTTCTAGGGCTCTTTTTCGCTGGGTGCACTACCCGCTTTGTTGGGTACCTGAGGCTATCGCGGCCGCGATGGCCAATGCACACTGGGTGTGCGGCCGCCGAACCTGCCAGGAACAGAATACTTGGAGGATCATGGGACTTAGTAAGTAAGGTTATAAGTACCTTAAAATAAGTAATTAGAAGTATGGTTACCTTCATTATAACCCTAGTTACTAAGTCCCATGATCCTTTAAGTATGTTATGGCGCAAGCTGTGCTTCAAGTGCTCGTCGAGCATGTCTGGAGCCAGCTTCATCACCCACGGAGTGCTGCCTGCTCCGGATGCGGGAGATGCTGACGTCGAGCTCAGGCTGGCGCATGCAGGGGACGAGGACCTGGAGACTTTCACCTCAAGTGCCTCGGGCAACAGGAAGCGACAATCCTGCGCCTGCTGCTGCGGCATTGTATGAGCTAGATCTCACCAACTGTAAATCTTGGTGGGGATCGAGATAGAGACAAAAACAGAGAGATACATGCTGACAGAAATACAGACACCGGCCTCTGTCTAGATGTATGTGTACCTAGGTCCTCAGGTGCCGAGCACGCAACCCTTTGACACATATTTGTTGTTGGTAGTCTTGGGGGGCAGGGCTTTGGTGCCGTCGGGTTTCTTCCCCGACCCTTGAAAGGATCCGCACCAGAAGCCCTGAAACAGTATACTACGGGGGCCTAAATGATTGCCAATACTATTTTGGAGGCTCCTTGTTATAATCACCAGCTGTCCCTGTTTAGAGTGTAGGGTCTGGACCCCTAAACCCCTAAACCCAAACCCATACCTAAACCCCAAACCCCTACACCCAAGAACCCCTAAGCCCCAAACCCATACCTAAACCCCAAACCTCTACACCCAAGAACCCTAAAAGCACTAAACTCGCCGCAAGGCTCTGCCTTGGAGGTATTCCGACTGTAGTGTAGCAGGGAGGAAAAGGGCCCTCAAAAAAAAATCGCCGCAAGGCTCATGAAGCACACCGAGCAGGTTCACATACCCAAGGAAACGATCCAGTGCGCCTGCTTGGCGTTAGGGCTCCAGGGATTTACTGAGAAGTTCCTTTAAAGAATAGATCTCCAATACCTAACCTTTACGTTCTTGGGGTTCTTATACCGTAGTGTGGTAGGAATCGGAAAGTTTGACATTTTAGTTCTGTGGCTTATTGGAGTAGTGAGACAGGCTTTAGTAGGGTTTAGGTTCCTTTGAGGGTTAGCGGATTGTATTGGGCTTAAGAGGGTAAGTAGCTCAGCAAGTAACCTTTAACCTTTTGGGGACTGAGATGGGCAAGACATACAAAACACGTGGCACGGCCAGGCCTACAGGCTGCGTTGTTGCCCAACCAGGGGCTGTTTGACTTCCGCCGCGTGGGTCCTCTCTTGGGCGGCACCGCTCGCGGATTCACGGACGCGTTCTGTAGGGAGGTTATTCCTTCCTACGCTCACCTATACACCACGGTCGAGCAGGATCGTTCTTTCGAGATGTTGTGGCGGGCGTATTGCCACGCCTGCCTTGTGAGAGGGGCAGCAGCAGGTGGGGGAGCACCTGCATTTGCACAGCCTGGTGCTGGACCGGACTTGCGAACGAAGGAGTTGCGTTCCAGGCGTTGCACACAGATTCGGACCACACAATGCAGCTCCAATTGGAGGAGGTGCTGCTGTGCGCGTCGGCGGTGACTTGGGCAACAACCCGCCTCCGTATGATGGCGATGCTGCAGTAGTGTCCTTGGCTTACACATCGGGGACTCTCATGTTTCGGGCTTGGGTACTCAGCCTCTGAGATTAACGGCCCTTTCTGACTTTAGGGTTGCTGTCCATGGCAGTTTTCACCCCTGATAAAGGAGCCCCTTTTGCTTCAACCGGCCTTACTCCCGATTATAACCCATGTTAACAAACAAGAAACCCTCAACCCTAAATTCCTAAACGCCTAAAGCCCTAAACTCACACACTAAGCCAAGGGGGGGCTTATGATTCCGGGATCTGCATTAGTTTTAGGTTTGTGGGGGTTGGGTCGAGCGGGCCTACGGTATATCGTTTACTTGGAGGATCAAGTGACTTAGTAAGTAAGGTTATAAGTTATAAGCACCTTAATTGGGGCTATAAGTAATACAATCAGTATGGATTGGGGCTAGAAGTAATAATAAGTATGGTTACCTTAAGTCCCATGACCCAATAAGTAGGGTTTGCTAAAGGCCGCTCTGGGTCCCAAATCGGCGGATCTAGGTTTTGGATTGTCTTGCGGCAGTCTGGAGAAGTCTTCAAGCCCTACTTGGAGGGTCGGGGGGCTTAGTAGCTGGTTATTTTCGGGACTTATAAGTACCATAACCCCAATTAGGGTCCCTTTTAGGGTACTTATAAGTCTATTTACTACCTACTTACTAAGTCCCCCGACCCTCCAAGTAAACGTCCACACCCCCCAAAACCCTTAACCCACGAGACCCTAAACTTGAGCCCTTAACCCCTAAACCCCTAACCCAGAAATTTCGGGGGAGGATCCAAAAGTAGATTCCTGAATGGGGGGGCTCCTATAATAAAGTACCAAGGGCCCCAAATCAGGGGATCTACTTTCTAGATCCTCTTGGGGGGCTGGGTAAATCCCAAACCCCTAAACCCTGAACCGCTGAACCCCAAACCCCTACTAGGACCTAGAGTAGGCCCTTATTCCCTTTTTTATGGTTTAGGTTCCCTTATAAACCCCTTTTAAACCGAAAAGGGCACCCTTTTTATTCCTATGTTACTCTTGGGTCTAGCCTAAATGCACTAAACTCCCTTGAACCCCAAATCCGGCAAAGCCGTTCTGGGGAGGTATTAGGATGTCCTTAAGGGGGGGTGGTCCAAGGGGGGTAGGTAACCTAGTAATCCCCATTATTCCCCAATACTCCCTAAGCTTCCCTAAGGTTCCCCAAAGCTCCCTAGTACCCTCCCCCCTTGAACCACCCCCCCTTAAGGATCCTATAAAGGTACCTCCGGGCCGGCTTGGACGATGATCCATACCTTGACTCAGACGAGTCATGGGAGGCGGGGTGATATAGGGGGCCTTTGTATTTGCCTATTGGACCCTGTAATTATTGAGGCCCCTACATTAGGGTCCCCATGGAGGAATTAAGAGCCTAAAGCCTAGCAAGAAGCAATCGTTGGATGGTTAGGTTTTAAGGTGTTGGGTGTCGGGTTCGGTGATTTCTTTGGTGGATGGGTATAGTGTAGTAGCAGAGTAGGTAACCTGTAGCGTTTTCCGGGTATTATCCCTACATCAATAATCGATACCCAACATACTCCCAAAGTCATAGTTAACCCTTGGTTCCCGGGGATACTCGACAAGTAGGAGAGTCAGAAGTCCCAAAAAGGTAGCTTGCAGCACAGGGCTTAAGATAGGTCGTTGGTTTAAAGAGGCTCTATGTTTTGAGATTCTTCCTGTGGTTCGGGGTTTGCGACCTGGCTAGGACCTTTCTTTGCTGTTGGAGTTTTGTTGAAATTCATAATAGGCTGCACTCCCAGACCCCCGGGAGGATCTAGAAAGTAGATCCCCTTATTTGGGGCCCTATACTACTAAGGGTACTTTATAGGAACCCCCATTAAGGGATCTACTTTTTGGATCCTCCCGGGGGTCTGGGCTACTCTACAAGGTTAACTTTCAGATATGGGGTTCGAAGTGCCAGGATGTGCTGGCGACAGGTTTAGGGTTTAGGGTTTAGGGTTTAGGGTTTAGGTTTAGGGTTTAGGGTTTAGGTTTAGGGTTTAGGGTTTAGGGTTTTCTTCCTTCTGGTTAAACGCCTGGAGACCCTACAACCCTGTTGACACGTCCATAAACCTTAAGCCGCAAACCCCCTCAATTCCAAAACGCTTGCAGCTTGAATCCGTCACCCGCCCCCCAAATCCCCATCTCAAACAAGCTTACACCAAAAACCTTAAATCCGAAACTCTGCAATTCGGGTTTCTGGAGTCAAAGATGCAATGCATTTAGAAAACGAGCCCATGCCACGAACCCAACACATCCTAAACCTCTAAACCCTAAGTCCCTGAACCCTATCTCCTCAACCCTAGGCCTATACTAAGCCTGACTGTCAAGTTTCGCGCGTGCCAGAACGAGCAATCGTCCTGGTCCAGCTATTTGTCGCGTGCCCCTGCGGAGGGTCCTAGGATGTTGGCATTTAGGCCTTAAAGGGGTCTAAACTCTGAACCCTAAGCCTACTTGGAGGGTTTGTAAGTAGGTTATAAGTAGACTTATAAGTGCCTGAAAAGGGACCCCTATCTGGGGTTATGGTACTTATAAGTCTCTTTCATAGCTATTTACTAAGTCCCCCGACCCTCCAAGTAAGCCTATTCCGTGACCCTTAACCCTATTCAAACCCTAACTACTATTTGCTTAAGAAACCACCAAAAAAATACTAATCCCTATATTATCCCTATAAGGAATATTTTTTTTATTTTTTGGGGGGTTCTTAAGCAAATAGTAGCTAACCCCTTAACTCTCAACCCAACCCTAAACCCTGGGGGTCGACTTTTATCGTGGTTTTCCTTCCTAGAAGTGCTTAGGGGTACTTAGAAATAATTGTTAAGTTTTCGTCGTTTTCATACCCAGGAAACAGCTAAAATGATAATTTTTGCTAGGGTTCTAAGATCAGTATAGAGTGGAGGTACACGATGGAACCGATGTAGCTCGCCTCTAGTATGTTTCCGTGGGCCGTACCCGCGTGCAGACGGAAAAGAGCCCCCACAGAAGTAAAATTAAACCCTAAAACCTAAAGTGCTTTGGGTCCCGGTAGGCTCTGCGGATTGAGATGCGTTGCGGATAATCCGTGAAGACTTGAAGCTTCCGTGTCGGCAGGACGAGATACCCCTGAAAGGGTTTAGGGTTTACGGTTTGAGCTTGCAGCTCAGAATGCTCACGCCTTCCGTCCCAGTAGCCTAAATGTCTAGTGCGTAAAGATCAAAAGCACAAGCAACACCTACCCCCTAAACATTTGAGCCTCTTCAACCCAGACACCATAATCCTCTGAAAAGGCCGGTATAAAGTAGGGTTTAGGGTTTAGGGTTTTAAAGGCCTTGCAAGAACGGCTCGCCTCTGAGACAGGATACGGCACATGCCTCTGTGGTTCCGGTAACTTCCAGCTCGGCTGACCGCCCTGATGGGCCGAGAAAAGGAGGGACTCTTAATGGCGACCCCTATCCTATAATGGGAATATTATGGCTATATTAAGGTTATATAATTAGGGGTCCTTCTTAAGGGTCCCTCCTTTTACCCTTGGATCATATCTACTTCTCGACCGTGTCGAGATTCGAGCCGCCCTTAGCAATGCCTAGCTTCACAAGATCCAAGGGCAAAAGGAGGGACCCTTAAGAAGGACCCCTAATTATATACCCTTAATATAGCAATTATATTCCCATTATATAGCCCATTATAGGGTAGGGGTCTCCCTCCTTTTCCCCTTTCATAAGAGTGCGAGAGCGCAGAAGAGGTGTTAAGTCACCTATATGGATGGTTGTCAAAATTGTGGTCCCTGTTTGGGGTCCTTCATATAATACGGCGCCTTATATTTATATTTTGGGTACCCCAAAAGGGACCATAACTTTGACAACTGCCCATATTGAGCCATGGCACGAGTACAGCTCTTGCTGACACCATCTGCTTCCCAGGCTCCTGGCGCCCGAACCCGACGTCGGACGCTGACTTCAAAATTCGGTTCCGTCCGGAAGCGCAGACCACCACCGAGGGCGCAGAGGCAAGCTACTCTACGAACAGGTTTTGGCTTGTTGTCAAAACGAGCTGAAGTGGCCCGCAGCAAGCAAAGCATTTAGGTTGTCATCTTTCCATGTTATCGAAGTTCCCTAACCAGCCTGGACAGGAAACCTCGAAACTCGGTACTCAAGCAGACAGAGTAGGGTTTAGGGTTTCAGCGTTTAGGATTTCAGGGTTTAGAGTTTTAGGGTTTAGGTTTCGGGTGTACGAGGGCTTGCAAGTTTTTGGGATCTAGGGTATTGCGATTGGGAAGAGACAGGTATGTTCTCCTGGAGGAAGTCGTCGACGCCCAATACATTGAGGCGCAGCAGCCCAATCTACGAATCCTACCTACGACCGAGAATGTCTAACTGGTAGGAGTCGTCCTTGTATATAGGGGTCTTCTGCTTGTGTGCCTGCTTGAAGCAACTGGAGACCCAGTAATGTGCAAATTTGGATGCTTGTTATGTTGCACTAACCATAGCCATTTTGCACCATGCCTTGAGACGTGGGAATCAGATATGAGTTAACGTGCAGACAGACCCCCGCCTCCCCAATATAGAGGACCGCATCACTCGTATTTATAATCCTTTATAGGGCTCGTGATTGTATCCCAAAAATCGTATACTGATCTTTCAGGCCCCTATGTTGGGTGGAAGGCATGGTGCAACCTGAGGACTTGAACGACTGTCGCCAACCGAAGTGGTTATAACACAGAAGCCCGATTGATTAACAATACTGTGCCTCAGGGTTCTTCAAAAGACCTTTAGAAAGAAGGTCGACTTTAAGCGATATGGGTCGTATACCATATACTTATTTTGTTGCGGGGATGTGTGCCTGTTAGATCCTTCAAGCGCTCTGGGCTAGGGCTCCTGAAAAGAACGCGGTATAATCACCCCAAGGCTGTATTCTGATTGCCAAGGCTGCTGGAATCCCGAATCTGCTCGTGAACCTTGAGATGTGGAGATGTCGCATACTGTTTATGTCTCGTGACTGATCTAGGATGTCGGTTTCCCTTACACGTTGCGAGCCCTCCAGCAAGACTCAGAAAGCGAACCAAAGCCTCAAAAAACTTAAACTTACGTCCCTGAAGATCATCCAAACCTTAGTAGCTCAGTAGATAACCTCGTGGTGAAAAAACCCTGCCATAATTGACAAGGTTAACCTTTTTGGGGCTAGGGTACTCAGCTCCTAAGAAACACTGTTCGCTTTAAAGTTATGCGCTATGCTGTCTAGTGTTTTGCGTACCTGCCTGAGAGGAATGAATTTCCAACAAATGTTCATCATGACTTGTTCTGTCTCGTTTGGATATAACTGACCTACTAAGCACCCATCAAGCAACGCACATACTATAGTCGCCTCACTAATTACCCCTATACTATTTTGGGGGGTTCCCTATTCTGATTCTAGTACAATGGGCCCCAAAACCCTAATCGAAGTATTACGGCCCCTATATTACTGCTGCGAAGCCTAACAGCTATATGCTGAGAGCTTGAAACCTATAACAGCCCTACAAGAAGCCCAAAAAACTTGTAAAAAGACATAGTTTAAGAAAGCACGAGCCATAACAAAAAAAAACACAACGCTTAAACCCTGAGGCCCCAAGCAATTGAGCAAAAGCCAAAAGCCCCCAAAACGTTATGCCGATTTAGGGTTCCCGGCAGCAAGAAGGTCAAGTTCCGCACCCGAGTTTCAAAACGCCTCGGCGCCGGAATCAAACCAGGCACGAATGGTGCTTGCTGCAGGTTGGTGTTGGTTTTTCTTTCGTGACAGCGTTTTGTATCCTAAACCATGACGGCCCAAACCCTAAACCCTGATGGTTCTTTGGTTGATCTGTATGTGGTTTGTCGTTTCTGGTGGAGGGGCGAGCCTTGCACCGTGATGATTTTCAGACAGGGGCCAGTTTCCAATACATCGGGACCTTGCTAATTAGAATCGGGTTTGGGGGATGTTATACCATATTTTAAATAATGAGGAGTCCTATCCCAGACCCCCGGGAGGATCTAGAAAGTACTCGTAGATCCCTTAATGGGGGTTCCTAGAAAGTACCCTTGAGTAGTATAGGGCCCCAAATTAGGGGATCTACTTTCTAGATCCTGCCCGGGGGTCTGGGTAATGTTATGCCATATTTCTGCGAATGAGGAGTCCTACTTGGAGGGTCGGGGGACTTAGTAAGTAGTTATTTTAGAGACTTATAAGTACCAGAACCCCAAACAGGGCCCCTTTTGAGGAACTTATAAGTCTACTGTGCCGCATCGGCTCTACGCGACTGCCCCAAGGGATCTAAGGACTCACATTTTAAGGCTTTTGGGGCCCAAAGACCATACTATATAGGACTTTTGGGCTATGTTGATCCCTAGGGTGCAGAAAGTGTAGCCATACTAAGACCCTGACGTCTACTTCTTTGGTAGCGTGTAGCTGCGCCACAAATCCCTGGAGCTAAATCGTTTCCGGCATGCGGATCAAAAAAAAATTTAATCAGGATCAAAAAAAAATTTATTTGGGATCAAAAAAAAATTTAAGCAGGATCAAAAAAAAATTAATCCTGAGTAGTAGTAGTAGTAGTAGTAGTAGTAGTAGTAGTAGTAGTAGTAGTAGTAGTAGTAGTAGTAGTAGTAGTAGTAGTAGTACTCACTCACTCAGTCGAACGCCGTGCTGTGTCCATGTCAACACGTTGCGAGGACAGACCCGAGGGCCCGGCAGCTTAGAGCCGCACCATGCTGTGATGGCTCCGTAACTACTTCATAAATAAGCGCATGCCGCAGGTATCAGTCCATCTCTTCCAAATGCATTGCCCACGGAGTTCCCTCCTCCTCCGAAGACGACGTGATCGAAATGGCCTCCTGTACACTATGTACACCTGGCCTCGTAGTCGTTGGACTTGGTGGATGTTCTTCGAATGACCCCGGCCAGGAGCCACTCGAGGAAACACCACAGGTGGTTCGCCCCACACTGCTCGGCGGCATCACTGTCCCACCCAAAGGATCGGTCCGCCCCTCCGGGACCTCTGAGGGAGTGGGCACCCTTGCCGCCATCTGTGAGTGGAGCGGCCTGCGATCACGATTTGCTGATTGGGATGTCTCACCAGTTGCCGTAATGGTAGGCCCCGGGGTGCCGATTGCTCCAAAACCACTCGTAGGGCTCCTCCGTCCCATAGGCGGCTGGACATTTTGGCCCCGGCAGCGCCTGGTGTGTAGAACTCCTTGGGTTGGCAAACAAGCAGAGCAGCACGTATCATGCGTGGCATGAGCATGCAGTTGGCAGCCGCCAGTAGCGCAGAAGCGCACGCCATGTCCCCGTAGCAGGCGATATAGTCGTTGGCAGCGTCGGCTGTGCCGCGCCCCTTGCATCTGCCTGCAGTCCCTGCAGCAGTGTCGATGCCCGCCGCTGGAGAAAAGTCGGGCGCAACCCGCCGTGGCACAAGTCCGTGGCTCCATCCGCGCCCAGAGAGGGAAGTGACCTCAGTGTACGCAGGACATAGTAGGCGAGAGCAGGTGGGTCTCACCATGCATGGCAACATGCAAGGCAGCTGCTCTGGCACTAGTAGCAGCGCACGCATAATGGCATTTTGCTGCGCATCATGGCTCAGGCAGTTATGTATGTCAAACTGCTGATGTTCGGCCGTGCTAGCCATACAAGACATCCATAGGACATCCGCAGGAACATCGTTGTAGAGGGGAACACTCCTACACGCACACGCCCTAGTGCGGGGCAATCTCAATTCCCAACAGGGCCCAGCCTAGGCCTAGGGCGACAAGAGGGAAGGAGACTAAGAACCAAAAGCAACCACCTAGGGAGGGGGAAGAGAGAGGTCTACGGGCTGCCCTCAGCAGTCTCCCCGACCGATTCGGTCATCGCGCTGTGGTTGGCTTCCAGTGGAAGCACAAACCCAATGTTGCGCAAAGTATGGAGCTGCTCTGAAGTGCACAGCGCATGGTTCCCTGTGGTATACGCGATTAGAACACAGCGGTCACCGTGGGAGGAAGGGAGAGCAGCATGTAGGTATTCCCGACCATTGAAAGCAACCGCTTTTCCTGCTGTCACCATGGTCCGGCCACGTTGCATCCCTTGCTCGGAGTCAATGTAGTAGGTGCCGCTGCTATCTTGTACCCAAAACTCTCCTCCACAGTGATGGGAGGCACCAATGAGCAGGCTAAGTGCCGAGGAGTTGCAGCGGTCCACATGTGGCCCCATTGCGTTGTTGTAATTGACCACTAGGCTGGTCCAGCTGAAACCCCACAGCGAACGCGCAACTGTGATCACCAAAGCGTTGAGGACTTGACAGGTGGCTCCGTGCGAGGTCGTAGCACGTGACATGCCTAGGAGCCCTCCTTTCGAATATAGGCCAAGCTTGAATGTGCCACCCTGCGCAAGGGGACGAGTGTCCATCTCAAAGGCCAGATCCCGCATGACACTGCGAGCAGCGGCCCACAGTGAGCCACGTCCCTCCAGCAGGTAATCACGAGCAGTGGCCTCCGCCCTGGATGGTACCTCTGGCGTCAACTCTGCATAAAGAGTCGGGAAGGTAGTAATGCCATCGTCTGGCATAGCAGAGTCCACCGCTTCGGCGTAGTCCAGATAGTGCAGCCAAGCTTCTCGTGGGAGGCAGCCCTTGGCCACTGCCAAAAGTTCATTGCGCAGGCAGAGGGTAACTGCTGGCGGCAGGGACACGCTCCGATCAGTCATGCTGCGCAGTTTGCGAAGTTTGCCGAGGAGAAGTGCCTCTTCACGCTCCACAACAGCAAGATGCGAGGGCAGCGGGACGTGCCAGGCCATGGCCATCACAAGCAAAGCAGGGATCAGGCACCCTTCACCTGATATGGCCGCGTGTGCCCTCCTAATGTGGTACAGCCGGGGCTCGTCCCTCAGAGCCAGCCGGCTGGCCAACGCAGTGTTTGTGTGTTTGCACAAGCAGATGGTGAGGCTGCAAGAGAGACAATCAGTTGGCGTCGGATGCATGCCAAGGGCCTGGCGAGGCAGCAGTGCGCGCAAAGAAAGAAATTACCCCAGATAGCCCGTAGTGCTTGAACCCAAGGCTCGTTCTCAAAGGAGTGAGAATGGACGACAAATGCGAAAATGAATTCATGTGTGTGCTGCCGGCAGCAGCCTGTGCAAAACAAGAACTAGAAAGCGAACTCGAGTGCCCTTTATGTCGCACAAATGAGGTCATCAGGGCGGCGTCAGCTACACATCGGCAGCTCGCGCAAAACATTAACCCACAGCAGGCAAGCCCACCCTACAGAGTCCGAAGTAACCCAACTAAGTAGGCATTGCGAGCTATATCCTGAATGTCACCTGCATTGACCTCCCGTGGGTGCACATTGTCATTGCAGATGATAAACTTCCATTGCGTGCCTGACCCCTCCAAATGTGGGACACACAGTGCTGTCTGGTAATGCCCACTGTGGACAGTGTTTCCATGGTGATATACAACAAATGCAATCACGAACGTCTGGCACACAACGGTGGTCCCCTCAGAGTCCTGAAAGATCGGCAGAGCAACGCTCTGACCTGGCGCAATGTGCACATGACGGCTATCCTTTGCAGGCTGTGCATCACCAACTGCATAACGCATGAGCTGGATTAGCAGAACCCCAGAGTGATCAGCAATGGCATGTACTGCGGCTTGCCCGGACCAACGGTCCACTACATCCTGTATGTTGTCGCCTGCGAGGTCCATGGGTATCGGAACAGCGAGGCTACCCGCATCAGCCACCTGCAACGGATTGGTGAGGCGCGACTGCCAGCAACCCACGAACCCCTCTGGGGCACAGCAAAGGAGAAGATGTGTCATGAATTCAGCGGCGTCATGCTGTTGTGTGAGGCGTCTCCAACCCCTAATGAGCAGGAGCCACTGCAAGCTCCCCGGAAGGAAAACAAGCCCTTCTCGATTCAGCAATCGCATGGCCGCCTGCGCCGACCCATGACACCCGCTGGGGGCATCTGTGAGCACACCAAACCAGTGGAGAGCCTGCGCACATGAGTTGACGTAGCAGACCGCACTAGGATTGCGCAGTCTTGCGGCAGGATACTGTATGTTAGTGGACAACACAAGCTGAAGCTGGACGCGACCGACAGGCCTGTGCCGCAGGGAGAAGATGGCGTCCCTTAGCGGCCCCCGCGCCGGTTGCGACGGGGCTTCCAGTCCGTCCACGGGACTGCCAGGTAGGCTTCCTCCAACGCGGTTGCCATCGGACCTTTGCGGAGGCGCTCTGGCCGAAGGCGCTCTGTCAGGGCAGTGTGGCAATCCAGTGCCGGTTGACCCCGCAGCGAAACCGCGATCATGAATGGAACGACCTCGCCGTCCGGATCCTCCATCTCCTTCGCCGCTCGGAAGCGGAGTAGTACCTGCGGATTGCAGGCCGTCTGGATGAGCACGTCCACACACTGCAGCACTCGCTCGTGCGGCAGGGGCTGCTGCTCCGACACCACCTGTGCCTGGGCGGCTGCATCCCACTTGTAGTAGGGCCACACCGGTGTCAGGGCGGTCGCACCCTGCTGCAGCCATCCAACCGTCATGAGGCGCTGCATCATCTCCTGGTCTTGGAGTAGATCCGATAGCTTGGCCCGCAATTGTTGCATCATGCCTACGAACATCACCACTCGCAGGGAGGTCGTCACCTGGCCATTGGTGAACTGCTCCTGCCAGGTGGCCGCGGACTGTTTCAAGGTCGGTAGCACCGTGTGTTCCCCGTCCACATCCACGAACATCATGAAGTTGCAGTCGGCCCTCAGGCGAGAGAGCTCGTCCTCGTGGCGGATGGCCATTTTGGTCATGGCCCGCATGAGTGCCACTGTGGAGTGGTCCAGCGCCGACCCCGCTGAGTCGTTCTCCTCCTCCCAGTCCCGGTTCCCCCGGTCCCAGTCCCGAGGCCAACTCTTCCACCCCGTGTTGCCCTTGCCGACCTGTCCCTTCTGAGTCGGCTTGGGCCACTTCGGTCTCCGGTCGTCCTGCTCTTCGGCTCGGGGGCGACGTCCCTCCGTCGCCGACGCCGTGTCCATGGGAAGCATCGAGTTCGAGGCCATGGGAAGGGTCTGAGGCAGACCGCCCGCTCCCCAGACGGATTGGATTTCCGCCAGCGCTGCTGCCCGCATCGCGTCCTCCCCCATGGGTCAGTAGGGCCTGGCGAGCAATGGCAGCTTGAAACAGGGCAGGACAATGCTTAACATGTGTACGCGGCACCTTGTAGGCACAGGCACAGTAGTGGCACGGCGAGGTGTGCACAAACCCCGCACTTGAGCAAAGGCTTTCCGCATCATGCCGAAGGTTCCACATCTGAGAATGGATCTGACGCAAGTGCTGTTTGACGCCTGGGCCCTTACTTTGGTGGGTTTTGCTGTTCCGTACTTATATGTCGAGTTATATGTCGGTCATGTGCAATTATAAATCATGCAAGGCCATTTATAAGTAGTGTATTGACATAGCAAGTGAGTTGTAAGTCCATACAGAGTTATATTTGCCTTATAACTAATTGAAGGAGTTAAGGCTCCACTTATAAGTCCCAGTCAAGTCCTCGCTAAGTAGTTATAAGTGGGAGTTATAAGTCCGCCGTAAGTCCACTCGCTGGGAGTTATAACTCCGACGCCCCCGCAACGCTATTTCCCGAAAATTGTATCCGTGGGCCAAAAATTGAACCGCCCAAACCAAAAAAAACGTCGCCTGAAGTCCGAAATCCAACCCCCCCAAAACAAAAAAACAACGAGCCTCAAGTCGAGAATTTAACCGCACCAAAACCAAAAAAAACGTCGCCTGAAGTCGAAAATTGAACTCCCTCAAACCTAAAAAAAATTAGCCTCAAGTCGAAAATTAATTCACCCAAACTCAAAAAAACGCATACCTGAAGTCGAAAATTTGACACTTGTAAGTTGCAAAAACATGCCAGCTGAATGCCAAAATCTGCCAGCCCAAGAACCAAACGATGCTACCCGAAACCGGGCCCTTGACCCCAAACCCCAAGCCGTCTTAACCTCAAACCCGAACTCCAAATCCGCTGTGAACGTGGCTCTAAATGAATGCATGGAGGCATCGCCCCGTGCATCTTGTGCAGGAGGCTTCGCCCCTGCATGCACTGCATGGGCATAGCAGCACGCATGACACAGCAGACAGACACACACGAAGCCAGACGCACTGCAGACAGACACATGTGCAAGCCCATGGCATATATAGAACATGCAGGCAAGTTCCTGAAACCTCAGCAGCGGCACAGCTGCTTCGTTGCGGTCGCCATGGACAAGCTCCCGGCGAAGTCCGCGGCGAAGGGAAAAGGAAAAGGAAAGGACCCTGAAGAGAAGGGAAAGGGAAAAGGAGAAGGAAAGGACCCTGAAGAGAAGGGAAAGGGAAAAGGAGAAGGAAAGGACCCTGAAGAGAAGGGAAAGGGAAAAGGAGAAGGAAAGGACCCTGAAGAGAAGGGAAAGGGAAAAGGAGAAGGAAAGGACCCGGAAGAGAAGGGAAAAGGAAAAGGAGAAGGGAAGGACCTCCAAGAGAAGGGAAAGGGAAAGGAAAAAGGAGAAGGGAAGGACTCCGAAGAGAAGGGTCCGGGAAAAGGAAAAGGGAAGCGCCCAGAAGAGAAGGGTCTTGGAAAAAGCAAAAAAGGAGGGAAGGACCTCGAAGAGAAGGGAAAGGAAACAGGAAAAGGGAAGTGCCCCGAAGACAAAGGAAAAGGAAAGCACGTCAAAGAAGAGGATCCCTCAGAGAAGGGAAAAGGAAAAGGGGAGGGCCTCCAAGAGGAGGTGAAAGAAGAAGGGAAAGGAAAGGGAAAGGAAAAGGAGGAGGAGGAGGAGGGGCCCATCGTAGACGAAGTCTACGATGGGCCCTACGAGGTCCAGGCGGGGACCCTGACGGCCGCTGAGCGAAGCGAGATCTTTCAGGCCACGGGCATGAGGGTCTCGCTTCGCTTGAGGAACTCCTGGCAGGGGCGAGCCATGGTCCTGACCGGCCCCAGAGACGGTCACTTGCCGGAGGCTTTGTCCATGGCTTGGCGGTACATAGAAGCGTCAGCCAAGGCAAAGCCCCCGGCAAAGGCCTCGCCAGCGGCCGCTTCCACTCCAGCTCCAGGAGCGAAGCCGGCGAGGCCTCGCCCGCCGCCAGCAGCCAGGCCACCCACCTCACCCTGGCCCCAAGCCTTCCCGCAGGCATGGCAAGCCCCGCCCCCGCCGTTCCAGCCCTCCTTCCCAGCCCAACCTGCCTTTTTGGACCAGCAACCTGGCTTTTTGGGGCAAGGCTTCCTCGCGCCACCGCCTTTAGTGCCAGGGCTGCCTGATCCCTGGCTGCAGGCCGCTCAACGTGCGGAAGCTGCAGCGGCCAGGTCGGAAAACGCGGCCAGACAAGCAGAAGCAGCATTGCAGGCAATGCACAAGCTGCAGCTGCGGCCGCCGCCGCCAAAGGCCCGGAGCAGCTCCTCCGACGAGGCCGGGCCTAACACACATGCAAGTTGTAATCACACATGGCTTCGCCTGTGTGATTACAAGTAAATGTGCAGAAGCACCTGTGGCTTCGCCCTTGGGCTTCTGCACAAGGGTACACACATATATATATATATATGTATACATACAAATTTATATATACATCTTTACTCTTCCTTTATACATATATCTTTATATAGAGACATAGATACGCCTCAAATCCTGCCAACAACCGACAGGCGAGCTCCGCCAGCTCGGAAAGCCCAAGGGCTCCCGCCGCTGTCGAAGTGAAGCCGGCGCCGAAGGCCAAACCATAAACCCCTAAACCCTACACTCTAAACCGTGGGTTCAACCAGGCTCAACCAAAACCCCCCTATATATAATAGGCCTAAACCCTAAAACCCTGAAGGTCGGCTCAGACTCGTCCGAGAGCTCAGAAGCTGAGGAAGCCCCGCCGGGCAAGGTGCAGGCGAAAAAGGAGGCAGAGGAGGAAGAGGAGGCCGGGCCCTAAACCTTAAATCCAATATTCCATCCTTAAACCCTGAAGGTGGCCAAAGCCGCACCTGCGGGGCAAGATCTACCGATGAAAGAGGAGGAGGCCCGTTTTTATAAGCCCTAAACTTAGAAAATATAATTAGGGAGAAACCCTGAACCCAAAAAAAGCCTAAGACTTAACAACATGCAGGTGGACTACGAGGAAACACCGGTGCTGCCGCAGGAGAGGCACCTCTCTCCCACGTCGGAGGCTGGCCCCGGCAGTGAAGCGGAGGAGGAGCCTCCCGTGCCGTCGGACTGCCCCGACAAAGAGGCGCAGGAGGAGGAGGACGTGCCCTTGCCAGGCGTAGGGTCCAAGAGCAAGGCCCCTTCGCCTTCGCAGTTTCCTCGTAGCTGGCCTGCCCCACCTCTCAAGAAACCGAGGGAAGGCTAGAGAGTGTGAGACTTCAGGCAAGAGACCTGGAGCAGCTCTAATCGGCGAGGCTTCGCCCGCCCGCATGTGCATGCACGCAGCACGCCATGCATGCACACAGCCATGGAAAACAGGGCTCAACTTTTTATGCACGCATGCATGCCACACATCTGCATGTTCTGTGTGAGCGAGGAATTGGTGATTCGATGTTTTGAGCTCTTATCGGCTCGTATACAGTTGAAGCATACAAAAGCAGAAACCCTTTTGCACAGTGCCCGCCTGAAACCCTAAACCCTAAACCCTTAAACGATAGACGCTGAACCCTAAAACGTGTAGATGTATCTATATACAAATATGCATACAGAGTAAAAACTCAGATCCTTTGCGAGATATGTTAGGAGCAAGCCTGCTTGGTCAAGGCCTCGCCTGACCATTTCTGTGGATGTCAAGGCTCGCCTGACATGAGCACCTTTGCCATGGATGGCGCTGAAGCGCCCCTTGCAGGCTGAGACGCCGAGGAAGAAGCTGCCAAGGGCGATTTCCTTCTCTACGCTTGCAGACCTGCAGGACTCAGGGAAGAATCTGGATCATCAAAGGAAGGTCATTCGTGAAGGCCTCCGCAGACCGCTGGAGGAGGACGGGCCATGTGGCAGAGTGCTGGATTCTTTAACTGTGCCACTCGATGGTGAGCCATGGCAGTGGCACATTTTGCGGCCAGCTGCTTTGCTGCACAGACTGTGCAGCATCAACAGAAACTTCGGCGACCTCGTGGCCGTCTGTGAAAACGTGGTGGTATACGCAGACGAGATTGTGCCAGGAAATGTGCTGAGGCCTGATAAAGGTCGAGAGCAGCTGGCCTTCTATTGGACTCTGAAAGAGCTACCGACCTGGTTTGTCGGCAGAGACCAAGGCCAGGGATGCTTAAAATACGCGGATCGGGATCAGGACAAACGTAGCTGTCATGTATAATTGGGTGAGATGTTTCATCAAACTCCCTGAGGATGGCTGTTTTTCGGCTCGTTTCCAACGAGCAAGATCTCAGATGTCGAGGGCGGCTACAGCTTTCTCTTCGGCCTCATGCTGGAGTGCTTCTTCGACCTGCAGCAGGACGGCCTCAACTTTGCAACAGGCCTCCCGCTCAGCAGGAGGTCCGGGCATTTTAACTTCAAGCCCAAGTTTGGATTCTTGATTGCCGATGCCAAGGCTCTGAAACAGCTCTGGAACCTCACTGGTGAGAATGGTACAAAGCCCTGTTTCTGCTGTGCGAACGTGGTAGGCAGGATGTCGCCCGAATCCATTGCCAACCACGACTATTTGGTTCATGTCAGCAGCTCTGACAAGGACCGCTTCCAGCTGCACACGTCGGATACTGGCAAAACGATGGTGCGAGACCTGGCCGATTTGGCACACCGCCCGAACGAGCAGAAGAAGCTCGGTCAGCTTTGTGGCCTGCAGTACCACGCCAAAGGCCCGGTGGGTGTGCATGACCAAACAATCAGTCTGATGTATGTGGTTGTTTGCCTTTCGCTCTTATATTTAAGGGCAGAGAGTTCTAATAACGAAAAACACACAGGGACACAGAGCCTGGAATCATTACACTTCAGCATGCAGCCCCCTTTGAGGCGCCCTGTGGAATCCTCGTCTCCCGATGCTGAACCACGTCGAGCAGACCATGTATGACTGGATGCATGTGCTCGTTGCGAGCTCGGGTGTGGGCCAGTACGAGGTGAACGAGTTTGCGAAGGAGTTGCAGACGACCTGCAATCTGAGCTTCGAGTTTCTCGACGACTTCGCAAACACG